GTCGCTTGAAAGTGGTCGTTGAAAGTCGGGTCATTTATACGAGAAGAATGGCAAATTAAAGAATAGAGAAAAAAGAGACAAGCTGCCAGAGCCGTTCAGATCTCCATTCTCGCCCTCTTTAACGGTGCATGCGGCCCCAGAAGCCGCTGCGCCGACCCTCTTCGCTGCTCGTAGTGCTCGCGCCCGAGACGGAACTGGCGTCGCTGCCCTTGCGGACGAAGTTGCCGGCAGACGAGGCGCCGTTGCCGTGGCCGTGGCCATGGGTACCCAAGCGGATACTGTGGGCAATGCGGTCGGCGGTCGACAGGAGGGGGCCGGATGAAGTAGAGCCCGACGCCTTCTTATGGTGAGACGAGGACGATGATTTGGACGAGTAAAAGTTGCCGGCGCCACCGCGGCCGACGTAGCCACCGGTGCTTTGCGCCTTGGCGGCGGCGGCCGAAGCGTAGATGTATTCGTCGTCCAGAGACGTAGCAGGACGCTTGGAGGCCGGGTAGGCGTTGCCGGCGCCGCCACGGCCAGCGTAGAAGCGAGTGGACGTGTGTGTCGCAGATGAGCCCGAGGACACCTTGGTCAGGGGCGTGGGGATGCCGGCAGCAGGCGTGACGGTGGTGGGAGCGCGGAAGGTGTTGCCCAGGCCGCCGCGGCCGGAGTGTGTGTAGGCATTTGCCTGCACGGTGGGATGTGGTTCGGTGATTGTGAAGGGCATTGTGAGGGCTGTGGGTGTAATTCGTGGTGTGAGGGGATGGTGATATTCACTGTGGACGAGGATGTGAAGCTCGTGATGTCCGTGTTCGATGTACTCTAGATCGTTATATACTTGTTGTATATTATTTCCGTGTATGACATTCGAGAGAGACGAAGAGTGAAGGAAAAAAGCGAGTGACAATAGAAAATATATGAATAAGAGGCCACGATGTTTAAGAGCTTTTCTCCCCATCCAGGCAAATCATTTTTAACGAGGGGAGCAGCAGAGCAAAAAGAGTCAGACGTCCACCTGAGGGGCGTGTAAGTAAAAACATTGTTTTGTATTAGCTGAGAAACAGCCAGAATTGCGTTGCATGTTGGAATGGGTGGATTGGGTGTCTGGGCTTTTGTCTGGGGAATCCACGAGAAGGGGGCGTGTAAGCATTGCTGCCCCCCTGACGAACTTTTGTAGATGACAACATTGTGGGCAGGTCAAACACAATTGCTCGAGGAGGGAAGGCGCGACGGTAGGGAGGACAGCGGCGTAAAGAAAAAACTTTTGCTGCAAAAGAGCAATCCATGGGGTAATAGCAAGGCAAGAAAGACCCAGATAGGTAAAATTTTTCAAAGCCGCCTGGCTTGGCTACAGGTCACAAGAGAGGCAAACTTACACGCCCCCAGGATGGAAAGTGCGGCTTTGAGAGGTGGAGGAGGCTCCCTGGCTCCTTTCCCAGCGAATGGGCCGAGTGGTGGCAACCGCGTGATGGGCTTTTAGGCGCTGTGACCAGCTCTTTGGGCAAGTGCTGGGCGGGCTGCTTCAGGTGTTTTCAGCGCGTTTCCAGGGGGCGTGCTGGCACTGCTGGCATTTTGCGTGATCACGTTGCACGATGTGTAAATGGGATCCTCCTCCAGAGTGGCCATTGGCATATTACCGTTACGAAATGGCGGCTGGCTTAGTGCATCACGAGGCCCCGCCCCAGTGGTCATTTTGGTCGTTCTGTCCCCCCTGGGCCGTTTTTGGGTTTCTCGTACCTAATTTTTAGTAATGGAATGCCGGTACGTACCTTCCCCTCCCAGACAAGAGAGACATGCGAGACAACCACTCTGTCGCAACAACTTGGCGAAAGCAACAACGATCGTGGTCCAGATGCAACTTCCTCATTGGCGTCGGCTCACATCTCGCTCACCACAAGTATTATGCAATTATTGGACAGACTGTCAGGGCAAGGATGGCACACAGCTCGGAGTTCCACGTCGGACCTCATTTGAAGCTTAAACTATGTTGAAACAAGGTCAATTGGGTTGCCCGCCAACCGTCGACGGACAGCAACACGATGATGCCAGCGGCTGCCAAACTTGTGCCACGTCTTGCTGTGATTGCTGAGGCAGATCACCTGCGCCACGACAGCCGGCCTTCGCGCGGCAAAATGCAAAATAAAACATCGTGAACATTTTTTATACCTTTACCAGGGGTCGAGACAGCCAGCTCCGAAGTAGAAGCTTCCTTCCCCTCCTTCCATTGACACCACAGGATGCTACAATAACCTTGCGATTCCTACCGGTCCACTTTTGAAGGTCCAAGTGACCCATTTTCAGGGAGAAGAGGAGAGGTTACGAGTTCAAAGAGGAGAAATAAAAATCTGATTGGGGCGAGGGTCTTCATACGACGTATTGCGGCCAGAGAATACAAACAACGACGACAAGCAACGTTCGAATGGAACCACATAAGCCGGGTATCAATGGTCCTCGTGCTTGACATTCACAGTTGTGAAAGATCACAACAAATGGAACGAGCTCTCTCTATGGTGTGAAGAGCATCAAGCCCAAAGAGGTATGGGCGTCCAGAGGAAAGCTACAGGCAAGGGGGTGTGATTCTGAGGTCGACCGAATCTTCTTTTCAGCTACCAGGTGGAAGCGGCTAGGAGCGGTATTGAGCAAGAGTAGAACACACACACAAAATACAGTTCAATTGGGCTGTGGCGCTTTGCGGCTGACTGTTTCGAAGTCACGTTCACCTCGTATAATTTGCAAGGAGACAGCAGGCACGGAGACCCGAAAGAGCGAAACAACGAGGAAAGAGCGAAACATCAACCAATGTCGTAGGGTCACGGGATCACGGAGGTCAGCGGCGACAGCCACAGTGACGGCCATCGGCGACTGCCTGTCGCCCCTTCCATTCGTACGACTACAGTTGAGCTGACCTTAGACTGGCAGGCGCGAGTGACCTTTCAAAGACTTTTAGCGCAAATTCCGCAAATGCGAAGACCTGGCTGTGCGGCCAAGGCAAGCGAACTCCAGCGCACTTCCATTTGTTGCTGAGAGTGACCTCGGCCTTGGCAGTCTTTCGTAAACTCAGTCCTACTTTTGGTGCTTTTCTGAGGAAGGGACAAAAACCACACCCACAACATCTTTTTTTTTTGGCTTCCTAAGCAAGCCCCCATACAGTGAGCTGCTTCAAGCGAGCGTGTATAGGTGGACCGGCTCGCTCTCTTCAGCCGAATCTGTGAGGACCGTGGAGAGCTGGGACTGGCTGATATAATGTAAATACGGCGAGGTGAAGGGAAGTGATGGTGCAAAGTCTCAAAATACTGCAGAGGCAGAAGAAGATGAACTATTATTGACTTCTCGTGCACCCAGAGTGCAATGATGATTATGAATACCTGTTGTCATAAGGAGGTTTACAACATAGTGACAAAATCGCATTGGCATCTTCGACGTGGAGAGAGATCTATTTTCTGAACGTAAAATTCCTCAACGTAATCCATGCAACGGATCGTGATTCTGGAATAACTATTTGCAGCTTTCAAAGACACCTGCAATAATTTCATGTGCATCCACGGTGAGATAAATTGGTGAACTTATTTTAATTCATCACCCCACACCAAATCGGACAAAATATCACAGCAGTACGTCGTAGCCACATAATTCTGTCGACAGGAAGACAAATGCTGGATCCCCCCCACCGCAATACTGACTCTGTTTCTCTCACACAAGCAATAAGAATGTATCACACGGTGGTGAACTCTCCTGGGTGCACTGCATCAGAGAATGGTTGTATGGAGACAAGCTTCTTGGTTCTCTCCACTTCTGCCATTACCCTAATCCGACTTCATAATATCGTGTGAATTTTGTGCCCTAAGCGACCACAAGCGATAACTTCAAAATGGCTTCAAGAAAATGAGCACTTGCTCGGCTATTTCGACATGTAGTGCAACAATTTTCAACTGTCAAGGACACTAAGCTCGTACTTACTCAACAATCCATAAAGTGTCCCGTTTGTTACGACATCGTCTCAGAAAACGGGGAAGAGAGAGGAGGACACAACGTCAGGAGCACCACAATGGGTCAAAGCGCCGTCTGCATTATACCCCGTTTTGCTACATCTATGTACTCGGCCAAGAAAAACAAAGTAATAGAGTAACTCTGAGGAGCAGGTCCTAGCCACTCAATTGTCCCCAATATTCCTATTTCTAGGTTGTCCCCGTGGTGTATCTTTGGCTATATTTTGTAGACGTTCACTACCTTAAGACAGGAATGGAACACACTGGCAATGGGCTATATGGTACTACAATGTGATGTGTCTCTCAAAGCCGCGTTGACAACGTTGTCTTCCATCGCATACACAGATAGAAACGACAATGTATAGGGGGGAGGGGGAGGGGGGCGAGAAGGACCGACACTGCACTTTTTGACTGAAACTTGAATATATGGATAGGGAGATGAGTTAAGTATGGTATTACAAGATTGCTATATACCGCGCTGTCGGTGCTGTAAAAGCAAAATAGAAAAAAAAAAAAAAACGAAATATGAAAACCCTATGCTATCCTCTTTTCTTTAAGATCTGACTATCCTCCTTCTTTATTTTTCTGCATAATGCTGGGAAGGCTTTGTTGTGGTTTCGTCCAGCAACCCATTTTTGCCATCTTGCGATCTTGCCATCTTTCTTCACAAATATCGTAATCATCATGAAAATATGCATCATGCCAGCTGTGTGTAAACAACACCCCAGAAGCAAAATCAAATGTAGAAGCGCGCCCATCGCCTGTTGGTGTCCTAATAATTCCTTCTCTTCCTCTTTGGTGTTCTCAACATGCCGTCGACAATGCCCTCCCTATTTTCTATCCGTGCGTGTGCTCCTCCGTGTAGACGAGACATTTTAAGTTGTTGGTTTGCGACGCCGTGGTGTTGCTGATAACTGAATGTTGGAGTGTTTCCTGTTTAAAACGTCTCGGTATCTTGAGAGGCAATCGTGCCGAAGGTGTCTGTATCAAGTGTTAGTTTATTTGTTCATAAAAGAAGATTGTGATTTTCCGTCACAACTTACTTCTCTTCTGTCTGCGTGGGTCGCTTCCAGGCTCATCGTCGTTGTAGCTACGCGCGCTTCGCTCACTCTTTGGAGTCATCGCCCGAGGACCACTTGGACGCCGCGTTGGTGCTGTCAGCGCGCCGCTCAAGTTGCGATTCTCAAACCGAGGGCTGCCGGTGTAGCTCGTCGGGACGTGTGTGGCTGTTCCGTATCCGCTCTCCACGCTGTGGTACGGAAGAGGGCTTGTCTTGGCTGCCTTGGTTAGGCGTGCCGGACGAGGTGGCGTCTGTTGCTCTCTTTGGGCATCTAGAGGTTCCTTGGGAGGTCGAGGCGGGCCCGCCTGCGACTGCGAGCCCTGGGCGGCCCCGGCTTCCCAGTACTGCTGCTGTTGCTGCTGCTGTGTACTTTGCGCGGCCGTGTTGCTGACCGACGCATCACTGTACCGGTTGGTGTTCTGACCTGGGAACCGGTTCAGCGATGTGGCAGAGCCGGCCCATTCGGCCGATCGGGGGCTCATCGGTGAGTCAAAGTCGGCTGCCTGTGACTCCAGGGCAGCTTTGAAGGGCTGACCTGACCGCGGCTGAGGATGTTGGAGGTTGAGGGAGTCGCGATGCGCCCGGTACTTGGGATCCTCGGGCGTCATGTACGACTTGGGGTTCGGAGGGAGAATCTCCGTACTGTCGGGGGGCAGGTGATAACCGTGGATGTCATCGTCGAACTGGCGTTGTTGGTATATCTGCCCGCCCTGGTGGGCATGCTGCTGAGATTGCTCAGGCCGCGTCTGATCGAGGTAGTTGCCGCCATGAATGATGTCGGTCTCAGAGAAGCCCGAGTGGAGCTTGTCTCCTGGCGTGGGCTCATAGCCATCGTACGCCGCGAGATCGGAACCCGATCGAGACAATCCACTATGGAAGCCCAGCTCGTCGTTGTCCTTCTTGGAGTCGCGGCTGCCCCGGAACACGCGTCCGACACTAGACGTTGTTGTCTCCGACCACCTCGAGATCTTGGGGAGCCAGCTGGACGAACTGCTGGATTTGTGCTTCTTGGCCTTTTCTGTCCGGGGTGTGTTGTCGTTGCTCTGCGGTGCTTGCTGCATATGCAGTCGGGGCTCAGAGAGTTGTAATTGCTGGTACTGCTGCTGCTGGATGTCTTGTGATTGTCTGGGCGGCGTTGCGAGCAGGGCTGAGCTCATCTGGGGAACCGAAGCAGGGCTGCCAAAGCGCAAGTTACCAGATGCACCTCCAGCAGCTACGTTGCCGGCTGGTCCATTGCCAGGTGCGCTGCCAGGTCCCTGGTCGTATTCGGGCTCGTCTTCGTTGCCTTCAGGCACGGTACTGATCCGATTGTCGGAGAACTTGCGAGTCGATTGAATGAGGCCGCCCCGCGAGTTGACGGATAGGAGGCCGGACTGGCTGGCGTGGCTGGCGGTGGATGTGCCGGCCTGGCCCTCGGGTTCATAACCACGGTCGTGCTCATAGGCCAATTGGGGATCCATCATTCCTTCGTACGGAGACGGTCCGTGGCCACTGGTACTGCCGCTCAAACTGATGCCACCGGGTCCCGCACCGCCTGCAGACTGAGCCTTGAGAACGTCGACTTGATTTAGCAGCTGGTTAAGCATGTCCTCAATTCTCGTCAAGTCGTTGTTTCCCTTAGCATTCAGCGACTTGAGAGCACGGCGGAAGATGTTCTGGCGCTTTCCTGGCAGGTCCTCCGTCTCGGCTTGGGAAATGCTGGCATGTAGAGACCGGTTGCCACTGCCCGGGAAAGGCCGGGGTCCGCCAAGGTGCGTACGGACCGTCTTCTCGGTTCCGTCGAGGATTTCGGTAATGATCGCATCCTCACTGTCGGCGAGTTTCTTGGAGAACTCGTTGTTGATGCCTTTCTCATGCATTGTGAGCATGGTGCGGACGTTCTCGAATGAGGTGCGCATTTCCGCTGCCGCGCGAACAAGAGTCACCAGAATCTCCGTATCGCGCGCGCTCCGCTGTGCGTCCCGCACCATCAGATGTTGCATCAAAGCAACAATGTCCTTATTCTCGATGCGGTCGATACCGGCACCGGTAGCGGGATCGTAAAGTGGTGTCGCCATGCCCTGCGACAAGCCGCTAAAGTGTCGAGCCTGGTTCGCCGTATAGAACGGGTCCTCTTCCGTAGCGCCAAAGACAGCAGGCGCATCTGTGTAGTCGATACCTTTGCCCTTGGAGACATTGGCTAAATCGGGCGACTTTCCGGGGCCCTGAGAGATATATCCCTCGTCAAACCGGGCGCCGAGCGGGCTTCTGGTAGCATAATCCGGCCCGGCTGTCCCATAGGCGGCAGCGGCGGCAGCGGCAGCGGCGGCGGCTGCAGCAGCAGCTCCAGTGGCAGGGTTGGGAATAGACTTCTTGATGAGGCTCTCGTTCACAATTGGGCTTGTGCCTTCGTAGGGGTTAGTGATCAGGGTGTCCCGCTTGCGTTCATCAGACGAACGCTGCCATTCCTCGTCCCGCTCCTGGCTAGTTTGCCGACTGTGCTGAGACGCGCCAAGCATGTGATCGGCAGCAGCAGCACCCATGATGGCAGCGGCAGCGGGACCGGCGAGACTCATTGCGTGTGACGTCGCTTCATCGTGGCGCTCTTGGGTAGGTGTCCGATCGCCAGTGCGCCATGCTTCCTGCTCATTTTCGTCTGGGACATGGCCGTGAACTACGGAAGGGTTTGTCTCCATATCTTCATCTTCCGAGTAGCCGCCGTAGCCAATCTCCGGAAGGGGGTTGCTGAGATCCGGAAGACCGCTAGCTCCCATGCGCGGCACATCGTGCTCGTATTGGTCGTACTCGTCAACGCGGTCGGTGCTGTGGGTGGGTGTATTGGCTGGACGGAGTCCGTCCATGGTCCGCTCCTTGAATGACTTGTTCCGCTGGACACCAGCGGGAACCCACTCGCTCTCGGCGGGAACGTCCTGGCTTCCGCTCGCTTCGTGCACCTCACGCTCACCGTGAGGCTGGTATGGGTTTTGGTTCCGGTCCCGAGCTGCACGAATGGCCAAACCTACGGCACCAGCAGTAATGGCAGCCGTTTCGGAGGCCGTAGGCGAAGCGCGCCGCACTTTGCGTCCATATTGGTCGATCTCGTACTCGCCGGAGAACTCAGAGGGATTCGTTCTGGTTGTCGTTGGAGATGCAGTAGCAATCTCGCGCGTCTCGTGCAGCTCCTCACCTTCGCGAAGACCGGCGTCGCCCTCACGTAGTGCTTGACCGTGGCTTTCGACAGACCGGTTTTTGGGTGTCGTCTGTCCATGCGACCGCTCTTCTTCCAGCGTGTCCATGGAGCCACGGGTGCCAGAGATAGGTGCATAAGCACCATCTGCGCTGGAACCCGTTGTCACTGCGGACCCATCAAGCATTGAGCCGTCGACTAGTGATGCAACGGCTGACTCAATGCCAATTGGCGTGTGGGTGATATCAGGGTTGGCAGCAATACCGTCCATAGCACGGAAATTGTTTTGGTCGCCGTCCTCCGTAACGTCGGTCAACTGCGTCGGGGCAGGGCGGTAGTCGATCTCAGAGCTCCGGGCACTGAGGTCGTCGTGATCAAACTCACGGCTCATGACATTGCTAGGGATGGAGTTGAGTGAAGCGGCCGATTTGCGCTCGAGCCGAGGAGATTTTCCTGGGGACGATGTAGAAGTTGTTGTCACTCCACTGTCACGGTAGCCCTGCACCTCGCTCGCGCCGCCCTCCGTGTAGCCCGAAACACTAGGGATGGGGCTGAGGCCGCGATGCTCAGGCTGATAGGGCACATATTTAAGGGGCGCTGGAACAATCTGGTGGCCATAGGCATCGTAGGTCTGACCAGCGTAGTCCGCCATACCGTCATAATCATCGACAAAGTCGTCTTCGACAGCCTGTTGCAAATACTGGTCGGGATACTGGTGCTCGCGATCGATTATGGCGTCGTGCTCGTCGACCTCATCGATGCCCCGGCCAGTCATATTCGCGTGGTTGGCACCACTGCCAACAGAGTTGCGAGGCAATGCCCGGAGATCGCCATGCGAGATATTGGCATGTTGTGTGCCAAGTCCCTGAAGACTGCTCGACGAGGTTGTGTACTGAGGAGGTAAGGAACCCAGTGGCTCATCGCCATGGGGCGGACCTCTGGATACGTCTTGGACAGGAGGAATTTGTCGTTCGTTTTCTGCTGAAAGGGGGCGATCCGACTCTGCTGAGAGAATGGACGTGCGAGTCATGTCTGAGTTGATTTCACTCATTAGAGGCATGGGAGGCTGCAAGAAGCCAGCATCCGGATCGAGATGTTGCAAGTGACCGGCATTGAGACCACCGCCGCCTGGTGGCATTGGTACCTCCTGCAGACCACGTTGACCATGAGCCTGGTCTTCGAAGGAACGACTGGCTGCACTATGCGCACCTGTGAGGTACAAGTCCGGTGGTCCTTGGTGCTGTTGTAGCTGAACCGGAGGTGCGCCCTGATCTCTATCAATATCAATGCCCTGCGCTTCAGCTCTGCGGCGGCGACGTTGATCCCGCGCAGTGGTAGGCGACCCACTGTGGTCCGTCATGGCTGCTTTCGCTAAGCCGCCAAGAGCCGCACCTGCTGCTGCTGCTATGGCGGCATCCCGGACCTTGTCTGTGCTATGTTTTGGTGTATCACCAACGGCACGGTTCGTGGGACCAGCTTCGTGACCCGAATCGGATGCGTAGTCCATTACGGGGGATGGACTATCAACAAGTGCATGCCTTCCTTCACGGTCGCGAACTTCCCTTCCTTTGTCTCTCGGGGTGTGTGAGGCGGACCCATGGCGGTCGCTGGTGCCGGACCGGCGGCGATCGTTCGTAGCATACTCGTCCCGCGAGACGCTTGTGCCGGTCGATGTGGTAGAGTTGCGACGGTCCCGATGGCTGTGCTCTCGTCGTAGGGCGTTCAGTTCCGGCAGAATAAGGCGGCGGATGGCGTCTTCGACGGTCTCTAATAGCTTGGGATTATTGATGGACGAAGCTTTGGAAGCGCCTGAGCGAACCGAGTATTGGTCATAGGAGCGATGGCTGGGTGAGAGAGCAGACGACAGGACGCTCGATTCCGCTCCCGCGGACACGGCGGACTCGTTGTGGTGACGATGACGACTGGAACGTCTTTGCGAGGGGGATCCGGCATCCTCGCGCTCCGCAACATTCAGGCTACTGGTCCGACTGCGGCTTGAACGATGTTTTCGACCAGAACGGTCCTTGTCACGGTCTCCGTCTCGTTCACGGTCTCTGTCACGGGACGAGCCCGACTTGGACACCACGATGCGGTCGGGATCGTCAGCTCGGCTTCGGCTTGAAACACGATGCCGTTCAAGCGCCGCCGCTCCAGCAGCACCCGCGGCCGTGGCCGCAGCAGCTAGTGCGATGTCGCGAGTGGGACTGTTACTGCGTGGCGATTTAGAACCGTCTAAGAAGCTGTCTGCCGGAATTGCCGAGATCTCCGACACGGTGCCAGGCAGATAGGACGCCGAGCCACGGCTGCTGGCGGCGGCGGGTATCAATGGGCTTGTGGGGCGGCGCGGCCGTTGCCGTTGTTGGCTGGCACTAACACCACCGGCGCCGCCACTACCGCCGTGGTCAATTTCCACAGTAATAGGATTTCGAGACACGTTGGATTCTTCAGTCGCAGACGCATACGAGTGAATGCTTCGACTGTCCTCGCCATCGCCGCCGCTGCTAAGGGCACTGATGGCACTGCCACCGGCCGCCTCGTAATCACGGGCGGCGGTGGACGAACCCTTTTGTGGAGTTGACGATCGGCGGGAGAGGGACGCCTTTCGAGGGTGGGAGGAGGATTTCGGTTTGGAGATCATGATGCGTTCGTCCTTGCGACTACCGGAAGGCTTCAGTCGTACACGCACACTCGGCCGGCGGCTACCTGGGCTCTCGGAACGCCCTGGGCTTTTGCCGCCCTCGAAGTATTCGATGAGCAGGGATGTCTGTGAGCGGTTGGCGCTGTGGCCGCGTGTTTTGATCGTCACGGGAGTGCCGTCCTCGGGGAGAGAGTAGGACGACTTCTCGTCACCAGGTCGGGACACATCAGTAGCAGTCGCGGTTGCCTCTTCCGTAGGAGCGGTTATGATGGATTCGGACTCGGTCGGGGCGGGAAGGGGAATGGCAGCCTTTTTCTTCTTGGAGTCACCACCCATGGTGGCCTCGGGCAGGAAGAGTCGGGTCGAATGTCGCTTCCGATGCGAATCAATGGGGTTGGTGGAGGGTGCCGCTGGGGCGCGCTCTGTTTATTTGCAGCGGCCACGAGAGCCTCGCCTCTCCAAACTCCCAATGCCAGACAGGGAGCTTGATTCGAGGAGGGAAGAAAGTGCCACAAGTGGAAGAGGGCCACGAAGATGTCGACGAACGGAAAGAAAAGTATTAGGGGAAAGAAACAAGGTCAAAGACGTCGACGAGCGGCTTTAGCAAGACATGGGGCGTATGGGCGAATTAATACGATAGAAATCGACCGAGGGAAGAAGGGACTGGCAAAATGGTGGACTTTCAGCCAAAGAGAGAATTAGCAAAGGCAAACAAAACAAACGCAAAAGAGAACAACCGCGCCATGTACGAGGAGAAACCCACAATGCGCGTACTCTCTCCCCGTTTCTGCAAACAGCAACAAACACAACTCATAGGCCAGTAAGATATGGAAGAAACCAAATCAGTGCCGCAGGCCGCGACTTGGTTGGTGATGTGCAGCCCGAGAAGCCAATAGACGAGCTGCTAAAAAGAGACAAGGAGACAATAGATCGCCAGTGGACAGACGCACGAGACGGTTGCCCTGGCGAAGCTGGCGACGAAGGAGAAAAAGAGTTGGAGAGGTTGGAAAGCTGGAACGAGTATGCAGGAGAAGAAAAGTCTGGTGCATAGAGGGCCGGCGTGCAGCGAGCTGCGGGTAGAGTCGTACCGCTATCGTCGTTGCTGAGCGGGCGGGTTTGGGCGACAAAAAGAAAAGGCAACGGAAAAGCAGAGATGCGGGTGGATGGATGGACAAGTGCAGCAAACACATGCAACTGTTGGGTGCATCTGCAGGTTCGTTTGGGCCTATTAGTGGATCAGGCACAAGATGGGCGAAAACGGCTGCCCAGGGAGTCGATTGTACGTTATGTCGCCGGGGGAAGGGCGAAGCCAACATGCAAGACGATGCGACATGAAAAGGAGAAAGGGACAGAGAGAGAGGGAGACGGAGAGAGAAGCAGGATCTGTGAAGCGGATTGGGGGCGCGGATGGGCACGAAAAGGAAGTGTGTAGAGGAAAGAGCACCTGGTGCGTTCAAGTTCCTACCTGCATCGGCTCGTTTTTGCTCTTGCCCTCTTTTGCAGTCTTTTGATGCGTTGGCGTTGCTGCGGTCGCCCAGCCAATGACAAACAAGAGGCGGGCGATCCGAGGGTGGGCCTCGTGCAGGGAAAACAAGTGACAGGGGTGGGAGCGCAAGGAAGCAATTTGTTTGGCAGGCTCGATGGACGGCGCAGTGAGAGGTTCTTACCTGCAGTAGCTGTTTGATTGGCTTGCCGAGGTGCTGCTTTCTCGAGGCTTGACACGCAAAGAGAAGTTGCGATCCAGACAATTTGCAGTATGGAAGAAAAAGCAAAGTAAGGAGCTGCAAAAAAAGGAAGGAACGATCAGACACGGAACTTGAGAAATGTGGAAATTTGTGACGGCGTGGGGAGAGACAGCTTGCTGGAACGCAACTAGGCAACGGCAGCTACGACCCTGGAAAGATTAATCAACTGCTTTTCGGTGTGACAGGTTTTCGTGGATTTGCAAGGCAGACATATTAGAATTGGAAAGAACCCAAATCAAAACGGTCCAGTACCCACTTTTTTATCGGAAAGGAGACAGCTTTATTTATGTTGCTCACCGTATTCCCGTAAGATGTGCTGTTCGCTTTGTTGGGGTTTCCCCAAAGCCTCGAACGTCGCAATGTCAAATAAACAAGCCAGGTGCGCCCTGAATACTTCGTAGAGCGGTTTGTTGACATTGGCGCCAGGAGAGACAGCCAGACCAGCTGAGGACTAGCGGCAGGGAAGGAGCGAGGGGCGTCCCGTTTTCCCAAGAGGTTTGCTGTCTGCTGGTAGCACTACGTGCGAAAAGGGGCTAGTGCATCCACCAAGGAAAGCGACAAAAAGGCAAAGTTTTGTCACAGTCGCAGTTTCCACGGTTGCCCCTTGTAACGGGTGGAGATACAGGCAAGCTCTTGCACAAACGGGAGACTGATAGGCCACGAAGCACAGCCAGAGCTTGATGTAGAGGTGGCCGTTTGTTTCGGTCGCTTGTCTTCAATGTAGTCGCTCTTTTTCGTTGACCTTCTGTCTGACCTTCTGTCACGACGTTTTTCGAGCTCTTTCCTCATGCGTGTCTGAAAGGAGCTCCTCTTTCTTTTTGGCGTCCCAGCCTCCCTAATTAGGACAGAAAGCAGTTACTCGGCTTCCCGTACTGTTTGATTCGCACACCATATTACAGCTCGATCCGAATAGATTATTTTAGCTCTTACAGTACGGGCTATTCATTTACTGGAACCGTCCCTTGGTTGAAAGGAGACAACCATTGTAACCATCCGGCTTTCGTAATGTGTTGTTCTCGGGACTTGTCTGATTGCTCCTCGTGTTTCTCGTCCTCCCGTTTACACACCTTTCCGCCGTACATCCGTTTCAATTACACCTATTCTGGGTCGTCAATTTCCCGGAAAAGCTGTCCCATCTCGTTTCTTCCCCCTTGGATAAACGACAGAAGGAAGCACGCGGATGCGGATACACCTCTCCCGCCTCAGCTTGGTGGTTGGTCGCTTCTCATCCCGTGCCATGTGCGCCAGATGAATATCAAATGCAGTCCATTAGGCTCGTGCTGAGAATTGAGGTGGCTGGATTTATTTTGAGGACCACAGTCCGCGGAAACTGTATCTTGTTTCTCCTTGAAGAGAGAGAAAAAAAGAGAAAGTCAGTGGTTATGCCGTGGCACCACACAAGATGCTCGTACAAAGTACACAAGATGTAATTCGTAACCACTTTGCATTTGGATTATTGAATAAGTCGTACTTTCGTACTTTGTGTTTTTTGTGTGCCTTGGTTCTCTTTTTGTTTTGATTTGCCTTTCTCTTTATTCTTATCGCTAGGCTAAGGTCACGGGCAGGTACTTTTTCTATGCTTACTTACTTGCTTGTAATTACGACGGGGCAGTGTGAAGCCATTTGTGTTTTTTTTTTTTTTTTTTAAATGAATTTAAAAACTCCAATGCACACGAACGACATTAGGACACCAGACGTCGTAAGTGTACGAGGTTCGTGTATGTTCGTTTGAATATAACTCCTCTACATGCCATTCCAGAGTACTTCTGATCCCTTCCCGCATTTCCCGCATTCCTCGGCAGAAACGTATGACAGACTTGGCGGTCACTTTAAGTTTACCATATCTCTGTTTTTACACGTGTATGTGGAGAATAGGCAACGGGCTGTGAGGAATGTAAGTAGGAGGCTACTAAGAATGATGCAGTATGATATATTCGAAGACGGGAAAACGTAACTGCATCCTTTGAATTGAGCCAACCAACCTATCAACCAACCAAAAAAAAGATCTACGACGTTCACTTAAAAAGCAACTCGAGATTCTAAATTACTAAGATAGGGAACGGAATCTAACCCGAGCGATGCACGCAATTCGCGTGCCTGTGCGTGTGAACTGCCTGTCCTTAAGGTTTCCCGCTCGTCCTCCAGTTCGGCGTAAGTTCGAAGCTCCATTAGCCAAACTCTTCGTATCCTTCTTTTTCGCAATCCGAAGTTCTCGTCCTTGAGAGCCAGACCGTGAGTCCTTCTTAGAAACACTTTATCTTTTGAGCCTCAACAGCCTGATAGTCGTCAATATCCGTATCAGAAGCAGACGACTTTCTGTGCTGAGGTGCGATGGGATCCCCACAGGCTCGATGATTCTACGCATCCGGTGATTGTGTACCAATTGCAGAGTCAAGCCAGCTACCGGAACAGTGAGCAGGCAGCCTACACGTGTGCGGGCGGCTCGGGTATCAATATGTAGGATCTTGCTGCCGTATATGGCATCTCGCTTACAACCCGCCGTGTCGTCGAGCTGGACCTGGCCTTGGAAAGGGTCGAGGCTCAAGTCTCACTTTCGCTACCGGTATATATCTCAACGCAGTGAGAGGGTGAGCTCGTGGAAGCTGCTTGAGGGTGCTTCACGGCCTGATGTTTGACTAAGCGGGTACTAATAGTATCGTCGTTGCACATGGCGTCGACCAAGATCTCGTAAGTACTGTTGTAATGCAGAAATCAATTTGCAAAATAAATAATCTGTCGGCGAAGGACGAAAGATCAAGACGAAAGAGAAGGGACACTTGCATTTTTTACTTCTGAAGTTGATCTACATCTCAATTAGTGCACATGTAAACTTTGTAGACTTCGTCAAGCAATAATAGCTAGCAAAGTTGTATGGTAGATCATTCTTCACAATGTACACTTTTCAAATACGTTTACTGAGGTAAAGGTCCACTGCCCTAAAAGTCTGAGCCGAACAACTTGAAGCCAAATTGTATACTGTCACTGTGACCAGGCAGAGAAAAGCTCAACGGTATATCTCGGTGTCGAGTAATGATATATGACAGCTCCTGGACTTCGTTCCAATTCCTTTAAACTTGGGCGAAACAAAACAAATAGGTCCTACTGGACAAGTAGGGGCCATGCTGTAACGGAATGTTATGCTCTTTGGAGTAGCCCCACCCCCGCGTTTTTGCAAAAGCCTCGTGAAGAGTAAATTCTTCGAAAACGTGCAATAATTGTGTCTTGTATTGAAATATTCCATTTCATATAAAAAGTTCGAGGCCGTGCTGTTTATTGATATAGTAGACTTATCATCAAAGTCTACTTACTTACCTTCGTCAATGCTACTTACACTCGTTCGATTTCGAAGCAGGCTGCCCAACTCGTGTACTTGCATGGATGGATTTGATATACGCATAACATGACGGCCCAAGCAGGCAACTTTCTAAGCGACCACAACAGCACAGCTGCACACGAAGACATTGGATGGTAATGGGACTCTCCACTGCAAAGGTTATATTTAAGAGACACTTCATTAACGTCCTGTATCGATTCCATGCCAATTAAACCCAAAATGTTCATATTCACCTACAACACCGTTACAGCACTAGGCCGAGAAGGGTCAGGATATGCCTGCCCAGTGGGGCATGACGGCTGCGTCACTGCTAGTAGCGGACCCACGCAATTCACGCCTACGATATCACGCGATAGAGATAGAGCGGCTTTGGGAGCGTGAAACGGTATCAGGGTATGAACTGTGTGAACGTTGTTCACGGCGACCTGATTGCGCAAGGCGGTGAACAACGGCGCGAAAAGTATCATGCGATGCGGTGTAGTCGGAGTTGGAGATGCTCGTCAAGTGAGTCAAGCAACAGACTGCATAACTACATATTCTTGTAAACGTGATCTGGTCGGGCCTCGTCACAGCACAGCGAAAGCCCTTCTCGAGCATTGCCTTGTACCGAGCCCTTCATGCACTCCGCTCGATCGGTTTGATAACGAAAGAGCCGGGTTCTTCACCAGTGTCGTCCTCTTTTTCTCGCATCCTCGCTTGCCCGTCGCCTCTGGTCTCTTCCAATAACCCCGTCGCCAACCAGACAACTCAGTGTGTCGTCACTTATTACGCAGTTACGTGGCCGGACTGAAACGGATCCGGGTGGTCTGCTCATCCCAAGCAGTGTTCTGACAGAGATCGAAGGCTCGACGGCCGTTTTTCCTACTGCGTAATATTCGTTACTTTTTGGCTTTTGGCCAAGGTGTGCCACTGCCAACAGTACTTTATTCGAGCACATATCACTCCAAAGCCGCAACTACCCCGCCCCATCCCCTCTCTTCCTCACGCACGGAGTACCTTCCACTCCTGATGGCGCATGTCTGGTGACTTCCTTCGCTTCAGTTTCTGATAAGGCACCTCGACCGCACTTGCCTCGATAAGCGCTGCCTGCCTAGCAGAATGTAGCCTGCCCCACACTGTGCTTCCGTTCACTTGTTATGCTCTCCCTAACATTCACTGTCTCCGCCCGCCATTGCTTCTACTCTATCGCTCTGTCCCGTCTCCTTCCTTGCTATACTTCTTTTTTCAATCTCTGCATCTTCTCTTTCGTCGCCAACAGTTGACGATTTTACATCTTCTCTTCCTCTTGTCTTTTTGGTTGATCGGGTAATAACTACAGTTCGTCATCTGCACGACACATCTCATCCCGCGCATCCCGGTGTCATCTGCACGATTCGTCCTTATCGGCCATATCCACCAAGCCCGCTCATAGCCTCGCCAGAGGCATATCGTTATTTTTCGTACAAACTTTCGCATTACCTTCGATTGTGGCTTTAACCTCTGCAACTGAACATACATCGAACGCTTCTCGAACGACAATCTGAACGACAATCTTCGATACTGCCAACATATCTGCCAGCTGAGCCGTCCATACATCGCCATGGCCATGGCTCCGGAGCTCGACAACGGAGCTACCGAGTACGAGAGCAGTATGTTTCCCACTCTTTTATTTGGTAGTTTACCGTCTGTCTCTTTGCTTGCCGCGTCTAACATGGAGTAGTCCTCGTCAGTCTCAAGCCCAGCAACAAATCATCCGACGGTGACTTCATCAACCGCGAGATCCGCTTAACTACCGACAAACCGATGTTCAAGATCGGCCGGGCGTCCAAGACAGTCAGCAAGGGACTTCTTCCTGCCTCCGATAACGCCTTTTTTGATAGCCCCGTTGTCTCTCGGACGCACGCCGAAATCACGGGCAACTTTAATGACGGAGTATGTGGGTGTTCCGTATCACGATCCCGTATCCGTGTGGTCTCACTAACATTTTTTTTTTTCACTCCTTTAGTCGGTCACCGTGACAGATTTGGGCTCGCTCCATGGGACATTCGTGAATGGAAAACCCACCAAGGAGACCGCTTTGGCCTTAAAGCAAGACGACGTTGTCAGCTTTGGAATCCACGTGTCTCGTGGCTTGGACGTCTTCTACCCGGCTTCGTGCAAAGTCACTTACGTCAGCACATTGAACAAGTGCGCAATCCCATGTCGTATATCACTCGCTTTCATAATACTTGCTAACATGCCACCCTAGGCCTGCCGAGAGGGCTCGCTCTTACTGTGCGCCTGACTCCGACTGTGCTTCCGACTGCAGCGTCAGTGACTTCGAATGTGACTCTGCTAGTATTTGCAGTCACACTGGGCCGAAAGCCATTCCTCCGGATAGTGCCAAGTCTAAGACTGCGATCTACGAGATCGAGGACAGCGAGACATCTTCCAACGACGACGCTATTAGCGTGGAGGAAATCACGCTGTGCTCAGAGACGAAAGTTCTGCCGCCTCTGGATAAATTCGTGAGTGAGGGTCGTGGCGAAACGGATGATGTTTATGCAGACGACGACGAGGTGGTTGAAGAGGACTATGGCGAAGTGAACGAAGACTACAAGGTCGACGATGTCACCAATAGTTCAGAAGAAGAAGAAGCAGAGGAGGAGGAGGAGGAGGAGAAGGACGGCGATGTAGAAGACGACGAATATGAGGGGGAAGAACATGAGGAAGAGGACGACAATAAAGATGTTAAGCTGCCAGAAGACATGGAGGGCAGCTACCTCAGCAAGCAACTCGAAGGCTACGCCAAGGACACCAAAAAGGACAGTCCGCCATCGCTCGTTTTCGGCAAAGAGCCCACCCCGAATAACAACTACTCGATGCCAGTCATTGGCCTATGGACACCGCCGCCCATGTCCGCTGAGGATGTGGCCACCCTGTCCCGCATTGTTGAGGATGAACTCATACACGAGCAGGAACCCATTGAAGAGGACGTTACCAATGACGAGAACGCGGATGTCGATCCTGTTGACGACGGCAAGCCGCTTCTCCTCGAAGACACGCTCCCACGCTCGGTGTCTGCCAAATTCGATATCTCGTCGATTCTCAACCCATCGCCACCGACTTCGTCTCCTGCAAAGGTCCCGACCGACGGCATCCCCGCCACCCAGGCACCTGGCGTTTTACCCGCTGTCTACCGAAACATGCCCGCCAGTTACGAAACGGCTGAATCCAACGAGGCGTTCTGTGCCGGAATCATCGACGAAGCCCGTATGAAGGTTAACGTGGTCATTGACTCCCTTCAACAGACGTCGCCGTCTCCGGCTCTACACCCGACTGGTTCCGACCTCCCGCCGCTCGTGGCTCCTAGCGGTGAGGAAGATAGTGAAGACGTGGGTTTGACCAACGCGACGACATTCTCGTCGTACAAGAAGCGGAAAGCAAACAGCAAGAAGCGTAAAGCCGACGAGATGCTTGCTTGCACATCGGGCATTTCGGCAGCTACTATTTCTGTGGCAACCCCTTCCGCAATCGAGGCCCCATCCGCAAAACGGCTTGCAACACCCGCCGCCGTGGCCGACAAGAAGAAGAGCAAGGGGCGGGCATGGGCAGTGGCTGAGAAGATTGGCATTGCCGCACTCGGGGGTGCCGTTGTGCTTGGCTCGCTTATCTACACGGCCCCTTCCTTCTGATATCCATTTGTCTTGTTGTCAAGCAATATTGCCAATAATCGGCAATTATTTCTCTTTTGTATCATTTCCGTCTTATTAATTGTCGTTTTTTTTTTCGGGTCGGTCATGACTCTTTTCTCTGTGTGCCCGGTTATCAAGGATTCCCCGGCGTTTTATGACACTTTCAACCATAACGCCAAACTGCAACGACCGGAGTTTTGTAACGTTAATGTTCTTGACATTTCCCCTCTAATATTTTCGGCTCTTTCTTTTTTTTTTTTTTCTTTTTCTTCTCTTTCTTTTTCTCTCCAAATTTTACACGTTTGCCAGGGGTGAGCTATTTTCCTGTATGTTACATATTATAACCTTTTTTCGGCGGACACGGCATGGGACAGGAATGGAACACCAGACACAAAACATCGTCCACAACAAATTCAACAATACAAACCGAAAGTCTATATAATACAGTATATACTTGGTTTGTCTCCATATGCGTTTCTAGTTGCTTCCTACTGTTTCTTGCTCTGGCTTTATTTACTGTCCTTGCATCCATTCATACCAAATTCGATATTTGTATTCAGCTTTGTGTTTCCACTTTGTTCAGTTGTCGTCACCTGTGTTTGCAAGATTTCGTCTCATGCTAACTGACTGATAATGTGTATCGATCCAGAAAATCGTAGGAAGGAATGGACAACTACCGATGACCGCTCTTTTACTGCATTCCGGTTCCTTGTCTCGTCACCAGCACTGTTATTATCCGCATCGGCGCGTCTGTTGCTCGTTGTTTTGCGACCTCGTTAGAACAAAGCGGTCAGTGAAAGGTATCCTATCGGATGTGGCCGCGTGATGTAAAGAATGAAACGAGTTGCCCGGCGTCGGGTGAGACTTGGTGTTGCACAAAGTGTGTGAACCCGATATGCGACGCCTCGTGTTTTGACATTCAGTTTTCTACATCCTTATTTTTCTTTTTTCTTTCATGCTTCCACCCCCCCTCATTTTGGCCTCTCATTCTTCTGTTTTCCTTTCGTCCATCGCGTTAGTTTTTATCGTATCAACATCACGTCGTATCGGGCCAGCTGTGCAGCAGCGCCTCAGAAATCTAGCCATTCCGTCCACCGTCTGTGCCCATGTCGTACGACTGGACCCGAAGCATGTGGCTGCTGCCGTGGCGAGGAATCTCGAGTCAATCAAAATGGAAAATGTCGTCTACTCCACAGCTGCCCACTTTGCGTATATGCACACCTGTGAGCAGGTAAGAATCCTTCTGTTCTCAGTCGTACAAAACAGCCAAAGAGTGAAGTCTGTACGTCGTACTCGGTGACAGGCTTGCGGACATGCAGTATTGCGCTGTTTTGTTCTGCCCCCCCCTCCCAAGATGCAGCCTCGCTCATATCAGGAGCTCACCATATTTGTAAAGAGCCCTGATCCATGTCCATGCATGCAGGCTGCTTAATGATGCCTTCAGAGTCTGCAACGAGGAGATATTACGCCAAGTAGGAAGGGCTTGGAGGTGATGAAAGTGTCGCATTTTTGTCAGATTCCGTCGTGCAACTTGCTGGTCTACGTTTTGTGTTTTCCTCCCCTTCGATTTAGAATAGGTAGCCTAAAAGCACGATCCGTACGATACGATTGTCCTCGGCACTGCATGACTGTTTGCTTTATAGCCAGAGAGAAATAATGCGGCCCGGTTCAGAAACTATCAAGAAGGGCCATAACGAAGGTTATAAGAACTGTACAGGGTTATCTAGCGTCCATGCAGCTACGCTCCCATCTAGCATAGTTCGGAGTCTACGCATTCCCTGTAGGACAAAAGTGGCCTGGAGAGATTTTCTACGGGGAATGGGAGAAGGTGCAGTAAAGGATAGGGGAGCGTGTTTGCTACTTGGCAGAAGGCCAACGCCTTATGTTGTGTGATGCTTTATAGGTGACCAATCCGGTTCCGAATCACCGGCCATCGCTCGTATCGAATTCCGCCACGGGCTACTAGTTCCATATCTTTCTGACTAACGTAGGAGCTTTACCCTGGCCCTGTTCAGTCGTTTTTGCACTGTCGTATGAGAGAGGTAGTGTGCACGACGTTGTTGAAGGGCCATTTTGAGGGCTGTTCTGCTCTTCCGACCACAGACAGGACGGTAGTTTCTGTATATGTCTAGCTTAGGCCAATATCCTTTACTGTTAGTAGTTCTAAAAATCACCATTTCTTAGAAACGTCCGAAATCGTACTACAGTTACCAGCTTCGTGTTCAGAGTTTGAGGAGCTCCACCAACTACTCTCTGCATTTCAAGAAAACGCAAACGACCATTACCTACTTAATCGGACTCTCCAGACATTACCAAGACATTTCCGCCTAACAACCGGGCCGTATCCTACATGCTCGTCTTATAACTGTCAGATTCAACCTCCTGACGACTGAATCAAAGTAATATACTTCGGTCTCAGGCATCGCATTCAACCGTCGACCCTCCCGGCTTTTTTGCAGATTCTATCATGGCCAGGCCTTACTACACGGACGAGTTTGTCTACGGATGGCCGCAAAAGATTTGTGGTTGTTCACAGATCATTGAGTCGTGCTCCTACTGCTGCGGCAGCTTCACTGCGTAGGTGGATAGTTCTTATTTTGTGGAATATACCATACATTGGCGAGACGGCTAACACATCCAGCTGCTCCTCCTGCACATACTGCTATGGTCGGGCCTACATCGAAGTCCCTTGTCCTCACAGCCGCGCACCACGCCGTGAAGCCACAACGGAGTCGGCATCGTCGTCCTCGCCACCCACATCATCGCCGTCGTCGCCACGGGCGTCGGTCATGACTCGCTACCAGCACAACCAGGACTTGGCTCAGCTGTCGGTTCGCGGTGTGTCGTTTGATGCGAGCTTTGTGGATAGGGTGGCAATCCGGCACGGAGACAATGGCAGCCACAGCGGTGGAAGCAGCGGCAGCCATGGAGGCAGAAACCCTAGCCGCCGTGACCCAGACCACGGATTGCCACCTTCGCCGTCATCTTCCACTGCTTCTTCTGCCTCTTCGTCGTCGTCGTCGTCACCGTCGTCGCCATCATCACCGAAAAGAAGACCTCGCTTTGGCTGGAACAAGAAGGGGTCGAGTGAAGAAGATCGAGACAGTGGTTCAAAGAGCAGTCGTTGAGAAGTAGAGGGATGAATTGATGGAGCCACGGATGCGATGGAATGAACGGATGTAGAGTGGTAAATGTTGGGTCTCACTATAATGCGCAATATACGAGGCTATGAGCTTTATGATATATCAATATGTGTTTCTACAGTTCCATTCCCGAGGATCTGGCTCGATCTGGGACCAACATGCCGAAGTCTTGATCCCAATCGACGTTCGATCTGAGCTTCAGCCGTATTGATCTGCGCTCCAGCGTGCCGATGTATGTGATTTGTGACAGAATTAAAGACAGTGTTTTCTTTCCACCCCTACAACGACAGATATTGTGACGGAAACCCACAATGGGGCGACGGATCCAACCGCATGTTGTTGTACAGGAGACACAAAAGATTCCCGTCCGCAGTGGCGCTGGCGGGTGGCCACATGCGTGTTGTTTCGCGTTGCGGACACAGCCTTCGCCAGTATCGCCCATCACGCATTTACTGACCGTCACAAAACAATTGGCGAAGAAACGAAGCAGGGCGGAGCACGCTCGGTGTGCAATTTATTTCATTTTCGTTGCAGACGGGGCGCAGGGCTGCATAAGAAACGAGGATTCCTTTGGATGGCGACTACAGCATGGCAAAGAACAACTGTAGTGAGATTCTGCAAGGTGGAGATAAAGGAATGATACGATAGAACACAAAACATTAGTAAAACAAATCAAAAAGGAATAAATTAAGCAAGTCGATATAAGCCATCATTGTCGTCGAATTGCACGATTAATTTTTTGTAAGTGGTCACGTGTACAAAATCATGACTAAGCCGTGTGCGAGATGGCCCCACTCTTGTCCATAGCCATCTCCACTAGGTAAAGGGCACCAGCCTCGGGGGCACTGGAGCTCCTCTCACCTCGACGGATCGACAATCCGCTGCCGACTACCACGCTCGACGCCGACCGCCACCATGTCTGTCATTCTGTGCACAGGTACGTTGTAGAAGTTTCCCTGTCGCCGTGTTGCTCGACATCGCGCTTCTATTTGCTGACTCGCTCCTCGTCCCGTTACTTCGACCTCTCCAGCCGGCTATGACCACACCATCCGTTTCTGGGAGGCCCTCTCGGGCATCTGCTCCCGCACGATTCAGCACCCGGACTCGCAAGTGAATCGCCTCTGCATCTCCCCCGACAAGCGCCTCCTCGCCGTCGCTGGCCACCACGCCGTCAAGGTGTTTGACATCAAGTCTACGAACCCCAACCCGCTGCTCGTCTTCGAGGGCCACACGGGCAACGTCACCGGCGTTGCCTTTCACTGCGAGAGCAAGTGGATGGTCACGAGCTCCGAGGACGGCACCGTCAAGATCTGGGACACGCGCACCGCCGCGATCCAGCGCAGCTACAGCCACGGCGCACCCGTCAACGACGTCGTCATCCACCCCAACCAGGGCGAGATTATCTCGTGCGACCGCAGCGGCAGCGTGCGCGTGTGGGATCTGTCGGAGAACAACTGCACGCACGAGCTGATCCCGGACGGCGACGTGCCCATGTCCTGCATCACGATGGGGATGGAGGGCTATTTGCTGTGTGCCGCCAACAACACGGGCAATGTCTTTATGTGGCAGCTGCTGCCCACCTACGAGCGCACCAAGCCCGTGCCCATCACACAGTTCCGCGCCCACAGCGACTACATTACCCGCATCCTGCTGTCGCCCGACGGCAAGCGCCTCGCCACCTGCAGCGCCGACCACACGGCCAAGATCTGGGAGGTCGACACGCGGCCGCCCGGCCCCGACGAAGAGCCCAAGCCGCTCGTGCTCAACGCCACGCTCAACCAGCACCAGCGCTGGGTGTGGGACTGCGCGTTCAGTGCCGACTCTGCCTACCTGGTGACCGCCTCGTCCGACCACTATGCCCGTCTCTGGGAGCTGCACAGCCAGCAGGTCATCCGCCAGTACAACGGCCACCACCGCGGCGCTGTCTGCGTCGCCCTCAACGACTACTCGGACACCCGGTGAAAGAGTGGAGGGATTTTGTCGTTTTTTTTTTCCGTTTGATGACGGAAAGACGACAAGCACCTACGCTTAGAGCACGTCCCACGTCCCTTCTCCCATTATTTACAGCGTTTTGATACCCACGGCCGCGATGGTGTCCTGTGACGGCAACGTGCCCATGCCTCGAAGAAGAAGAGCCGCGTCGAGGTGGAGGTAGGCCGGTGTTTGGAGATACGAATTGGTTGGCTTGGGACACAGCTTTGGGCACACGGAACGGACCTTGCACAGTTGGGAATATGACGGCCAGTTCGGCCAGGTCGCACTATATACTTGCAGATGTGTGCTATGCCACATCATGGGCGACGGGATGCCACAAACGGCGCACCCCAGAGGTCGGGCGGCCGCCATGCACACTTGCCCGCTTAATAACGGCATCTGGTCGCCGAAGAAAACGGTCCACCAACTCTATAGAGAACAACGGCATGGCATGAGCAAAGCAAAGGAGAGGAAGGGAGACAAATGTATATTATATACATGTGGATATATCGGTTCAAACGTATTGGTATTTTTTTTAGCCAAGGGTCGCTTGCTTCTATTGTGGACGGAATCGAATGAAGGCAGAAAAACAAAGAACAGTGACATGAGCGGCATTACGTCGTTGTGATGACAACGAGAGGAGCTCACCACCCGTCGCCCCAGCCGTCGGCATCGTCGTCGTCTTTTGGCGCCAAGTTGATCTTTTTGGTCACCGGTTTCGCGGCTGGTTTCGCTGCCGGCTTCGCGGCGGGTTTTGTCGCCGGCCGTGACGCAGACGGTACCCGGCTCGACGAGGCCGAGCCCGTTCCGGTCTTCGCTAGGCCCTTGGGCAGTGCCTTGCCGCCGCCAGCGATGTTGCTCTTCTTCTTCTTGGCCTCCTGCGCCGCCAGCCAGCCCGCAAAGTCGGGCTCCGCATCATCGTCGCCAAATGGCTGCACGCCGCCGGTACCGCTGGCGGTTCGGCTCGACGTGGCTGCTGCTGCTTTTGTCGTCGTCTTTGCCGCGAAGGGATCCGCATTCTCGTCGCCGTTATCAAAGTCATCATTACCCCACGCATCGCCGCCGTCATCGCCAAAGCCGTCGTCCATGGCGCCCCACGCATCGTCCTCGGCGGCGGCATCGGCATCGTCGGCTGCATTCGTAAAGTACGAGTCGCCTCCCACATTCGAGGAGGACGAGTTCCGCGACACGGGCTGCGACGCCGACGGCGAGCGCACGGCCTGGCGGTGCAGCGTCGAGGCCGAGGCCGTGCTGTGCATGGTCGGTCGGCCGGGTTGGGTTGTGGCAGACTGTGTGGGCGTGGACGCCGAACCGGCCGCGCCCGACTCCATCTCGCCGGCCGCGGCGGACATCTTATTTGTAAACGAGGAAATGGCCCAGCCGGCCCAGGAGCTACTGGACCCGGAATTTGCGTCGGGCTGCGGCGTGCTCATGCGCGCGGCGCCGTTGGCGTTAGCATCGTCACCCGCAGTTGCCGAGGGTGGCGGCAGGACCGAGTCGGGCATCGCCGCGGCTGCTTTGCGAATGCGGTCCATGAAAACGTCCATGGTCTTGGTGGCCTGGTCACGCACCAGCTTCTCCTTGTCGAGCAGCACGGCACAAATGGCGGGCAGGATGCGCCCGGCAATGTCATCGGGTGAAAAGTGGTCGGCCGTCGCTGCGAGCGCCAGCAGTGCGGCGTTGCGCGCGTGTACAAAGGGATCGCGCAGCGAGCGCGAGAAGGCGGCAATGAGCACCTTGCTGCGCGACGAGGTGCCCAAGTTCTTGGCAATCTTGCCGAGGCAAATGGTCGTGTTGGTGCGGATGCCCGGCTGCTCGTCGTTGGCCGTCTTGGCCAGATAGCGCAGCAGCTCGCCGTTGATGGTGCGGTCGGACAGCTTGGGCACAAAGACAAGGACGGATTTGAGCGTCTGCTCGCGCACAATGGGCGCAAGGTCGGTGAATCCGCCGACGATCTGGGGGAAAATCTTGTCGTTGACGATGCGTTGCGTGAAGCGGTCGATCATGAGCGGGAGGTTGTCGAGCAGGCAGACACGGATGCCACGGTCGGGGTTGGCAAAGAGGCGGAGGACGACGGGCGTGACCTTGGTCTCAAAGTCGTCGTTGGACAGCTTTGTGCCGATCTTCATGACGATGCCAAAGGCCTTGGGGCCGCCGCCGCCAAACTCGACGGACTTGAGAAGCTCGGGCAGCACCTTCATCTTGAAAAAGTCCTCGGGGAAGTCGTCTGTCAGTTCGCCCAGGTCGCTAGTCGGGTTAGCAAGGGTCACACATGGCGGGATTCAAGGTACAATGTGGACCTGTGGACCTACTCCAAGAAGCGCTCCCGTTCCTCCTCGGTCTTGACGCCGAGGTTCTCAATGCCGTCCGTCAGCTTGATCAAAGGCGAGTCGAAGAAGGCGCCGTGGCGCTGGCCCATCTCGAGGAAGTTTGCGACGCTGATGCGAGCCTTGGGGTTGGCATTCACAAGGCGCTTGTAGCCGGTCTGCATGGTGGGCGGCACGTTCTTGGTCTGGCCGGCCTGGTCGCTGCTGGCAAAGTCGCCGTTGAAGGCCTCGTAGATGAGCACACCAAAGTTGAAGGAGTCGACGGCCCAGTGGTTGTTGCGCTTGATGGCGTCCCAGCCGTTGCGGGCCAGCTCCGGCGGGGTGTAGCGGGCGGCATCCGGGACCAGGCTGCCATAGTTGTAGATGATGGCGTCGTCGTCCTTGACATTGCTGAGAACCTCGAAGCCGCCGAGTTTCCACTCGCCGCTCTCGGATGTGAAGATCGAGGCGACCTTGAGGCTGCCGTGGACAGACGAGGCGTCACCGTTGATGAATTTGATTGTGCGCTGGGAGTCGAGTCAGGACAGGGCGAGACAATAAAGAAAAAAAAGAAAGAAAAGAACAACATGTCAACATACAGCAATACTGGACAAACCCCACTTCAGCGTCTCAGGGCTCAGGCTCTTGCGCTTCACGTGCCACCGCAGGGGCACCAGGCGCTCGGTCGCAATGTAGATGTACGTGTCCGTCTCGACGGTGTCGAGCACCTTGATGACGCCGGGGTGTCGTAGGGTGCGCAGCTTCTTGAGGGCGTTGCGGGCCAGCGGGAGGCGCGCTTTGTTTGCGGTGACATCGAAGGAGAAGATGCTGCAGTTGGATCCGTCTTCCTGGGGCGGGAGGTGTTAGAGGGGCTCAGCGAGGACACGAATGAGGACAAGTAGACGTCAACGCGTCAAAAAAGACTGGCAGGGCTGCATCCTCACGCACTCGTCGGGTTCCGTTGTACAATGTCCAGATCGAAGGGTCGAGGTCGACGCGGTCGCCAAAGGAATAGGGAAATGGGGGCCCCTTGGCGATGGCCGACGCGACGGCCGACTTGAGGAAATCCATCGGGGCGGGGCACGCGTCGCGGATCGGGGGCGACGGCGGCGTGAGCGGCGAGGGCGGGAGATCTAGTCGGCGGTCGGCTGTCGTGGTGGTTGGCAGAAGGATAACGAGGCTGGCGGATCCTCGCAGAATATACAATTCAGGTTGGCCTATATTCCGTGCACCGTGGATAGGTCAATCGTAGCTCCCTGAATGGGGTGCACCCCTCCTGCCGCTTTTGGCGCTGCGTGTTTAATTGCTGGAAAGCTGCCACCATTGTCTCAGTGAGACGACCCCATGCGGTCCTGCTGTAAGACCCCAGCGCGCCAACTGTACACTGTAGTCGTGTGGTCCGGCGCATCGTTGTTCCAAGCCGGCCCTACGTTTTACTGGATGGCGCCTTCCGGATCGCTCGTCTCGTCTCCTTCCCTCGTGGGTGCGGTTTTGGGACTTGGTCTCGGCAGGAGCAGAAGGCTGAGGGACAGCTGGATGGGGGAAGGAACGAACCTCCTGAGTGGCACCGACTAGCGCTGCAAAGGAACAAAATAAGTGGGCCGCGGTTACAGTGTGGATGTCGCTCTTTCCCTGGGCAGCCTGTATTACAGTGCACGCCGAGACCTGCTGTATAACGCAGAACGCAGTTCCCACGACTGCCCAAGGATGGATTCGCGCAACCGCTGAAATTCGCAAAACACCCACACCCCCCTTGTCGTCTACCCGCCGTGTTGTTTCGCAGCGTCTAGTCTATCAACGGTCCGCAAGTGTGCGCGTGCTTTTCTGTCTGTCATCTGGCTCACGGCCAGCCTCGCCTCTTTCCTGCGCTCTCCCACACCCTCACAACGCGGGCCTCTCGTCGTCCGCCCTCGTCGCACATCGTCGTCGCCTATCGTCTCGTCTCATTTTCTCGTCGTTGATTCGCCGCCGCGCGAGATCTGCCAGGCAACACACGGCACGCAGGCAAGGCTTTTTGCTCCGCGCGGCTCAGCACCGCGAGGCCATTCTCACAGGCACAGCAGCGGCGCGTGCTCCGTCGGACGACCTGCTTCGTCGTCGCCGGCGCCCCTGAGAGCCTGCTCAGACCTGCGCGACCGCGCAGCTGTCTGCGCCTCAGGCCCCGGCTCTGCACTCCATGCGTCTGTCCAGGCCGCAGCGCACTGGTGAGCGACAACGGTGACGGCGCCCTGCTGGCGTTGCGGCTGAGGTCTCGTCCTGAAGTGCCGTGAACGGCAATTCGTTGCCCGGCCCGGTATGTATTTTATATTCATAGCCTTTCTCATCTTCGCCGTTTTTATTGTGAGCGTGGGTGGTTCACTTTCATCTACCTCGCACACCTTTGCTCTATATTTTCCTCTCTTTTCACATTCTATTCTGCTCCCTCTCAACCCCCTCACCGATCCCCCAACCACCTGCAGCCTTCCCCCTCTTTCATCCGACATTTTCGTTGTTTACCCTCGTCTCTTTTTTTTTTTCATTTTCTTCATTATCCCCGCCTCCGTCTATGATGACTATTGGTAAAAGGTCAGACAGCCTCATGGCGCTCATGGCGGCCTCTCTGGTTTACTTGGCATTCTCGCCACTGTTTTCGCAGGTGGACCTGTGTCACACAAACTTGGTCGCAGGCTATACAGTTCTGCCCACACGCTGAGCGTTCTGTATACTGTTCTGCGGCTGAGCGGCTGCCCCTGTTTTATTGCAATTTTTTCATCCCACCTCGCCTCAGCTCAATGGCCTGCTGGCGAACAGGGGCGGCTGTCACAGAACCCTTATACAGACGCTGGATTGATTGCCTGGCCCTCTGCGGCCGGTCAACCACTGCGTCTCTTGGGCTGCCACTATTTTGGAGTCCCAGCTGCACCTTTTCGCGCAGATACTTGCCTCGTTATACGGGCTTTGTTCCAATCTGTGCGGATGCTAAGCACCGGGGCCAAAGGCCATGGCAGACATTTGGCTGTGCAAGGAGGGTGACACGATGCTGTCCTGCTTCTCGCCGTGCCTAACTACTCTCTATATACGGGACGGGCCCCTGTGGAGGTCGAGATGGCATGCGTAACCGCTCGGCCGTGCTGCATGATGACCATTATAAGAAACTGAAAAGACCTGAGACGGAATCCCTACCCTCTGCTTCCTGTTCCTTGTCCCGTCCTTTTATATGTTCCCATTTGTTGCATCCTCGTCGCTTCGCATTCATGCTCCATGGCTATGGCTATGCTGTCCTTTCTTCATACGACTGACCACGCATGCTCGTTTCTGGCGCCCCGTTATAGACTCACACTGCATCACGCGCAGCTGGAACTTTACCTGCTCTTTATTTTTTCAATGTCCTTCGTCGCTCTACAACTCGACAAAAGAGATGCGAGACGCATCTTTACCAGATACGTCGGCGCCACCACGCCGTAGTGGCTATGATGTCCATGGAAGGCTATTCAGCGACCCTCTCAGCAGCAGGGACGGCATTATGAACAGCATCCTGCAAGGCACAGCGCATGACAGCACACTGCCGCGACTGCGCGGAGCCACCGATGGTCTGCCGTCCGACGGTCCACACTCCGGGGCTGGCATCGACATCGCGGAACATAGCCCGGTGTCGCTGCCCCCAGAGCCATGCACTTTCCCTGGGTGCTTGGCGCTGACGTGGATGACGACGCCGTTTTGTATTCAGCATCTGACACGGATACGCCCAAAGAAGCAAAATGGCAAGAGCGCGCCGACAACAACAGGAGCAGGAACAACGGCGACAACGGCGGCAGCAAAAGCAACACCAGCAACCATTGCAACACCAATACATAAATCAGGCGATACTTCGGCACATGTGTCGGGAAACCCGTCACCGCGGGCGTCACAACCGGCTGCGGCGGTGGCTTCCAAAGCTGAGACCCCACTGCCCACGTCCGATGCTCCACGTCTACCCAGAAATGCAGTGCTCTCACCTGAACTATCGACCACTTACATGAGGCGTAAGACAGCCCCAGGCAGTGGTTCCCGTCCAGCGTCTGCAGCAAGACCATCTCTTCTACCCGGCGTAGGACAACACGCAGCTACAAATGGCGCACCCGTTACACCCGCGTCACGCGCCAACGGCGAGAGTCTGGCAGGCTCATACTTTTCTTCGTTGCACACCGCTTCACGGCAAAATGGGACGGCGGACCATCTCCCCAACGGACGTGATGAAAGCAGCATCAAAGAGAAAGACAGCAGCAATGCGAACGGTGGCAATACTATTTTGACGCCATCAGAAAGCCCGCCCGAATTACGGGCCTTGCACCATTCGAAGAAGCGACCTCGATCCGATTATGGGAATGGAGCCCAACGGGCGCAAACAAATGAGGCGCCGACACCGAGGGTGCCTGCAGAAGGGGACAAAGGCGTGGGAACGAATGTCACGGAAAGGCCGAATGAAGTGAATGGCGAAACGTTTCCACCGACCACGCAAGCCAGCAACACCCAAGACGCTCAAGCGAGCGCCTCTGCCTCAAATATAGTCGGCAACTCTCAACCGCAAACAAATGCACCTGCGGCACAGGCACCTACAATACATAATTCAAAAGCCGGCCCGGGTCGCGATGCAGACGACGCTGCTGCAGAACCATCCACGTCGAAACGCTTGGGACTACGGCTATCCTTGCAGCGCCGGATCCAGGAACGAGACAAAGCGCAGGCCAGTAACGCAGCCAACGGGACACCGCAAGCAGCCAAAGCGGCAATGACGTTCTCCCTAGACACATACATCTACAGCCAGGGTGAGGACGTGGCGCCGCTGCCGCCACCGCCTGAAGTCGCAAAGTCCAGAGAACGACTTGAGGCCGCATCGGCTGCCGCAGCCGCACCACTACCCACGAGCTACTCGTCCGTTTCGTCGTCTACGTCCTCGTCTGCCAGAAAGGCCCCTGATTTTGTCTACGCCCACATTGACCCAAGGGTGCACTGGACCCGAGCGCGACCCAAGGCCTGGCACGACGCCAAACAAAAAGAAATTGCGGCACGGGGCGGGCGCAAGGCCAACTTTGGAAAGGCTGTCCAGCGTTCTGCTGCCGCCCGCCGCCGCGCTGTAGCCGCAGCCGCCGCGACAGCAGCATCAACAGTATCATCGGAGACGTCAGAGTCGCCAACAGACGAGCCGCCAACGAGTGCCACAAATGGGGATATGAACATGAACATGAATATGAATATGAATACGAATACGGGGCCAGATTCTGCCGCCAATAGCACAACCCGCGGATCAACACAAAAGGCGTCTACCACACAAGCCCCAACAGGTGCAGCACCACCTCCCCAGGTCCCTTCGGTCTGGACGGGCGAGCTACCCACCGAAGTGACGAGCAACAAGCCATGGATGGCACTATTGGGCAAGTTGGCGCTGGACGAAGAGGCCTGGCCGGTGAAGCCAAAACCGAGCGGTCGGAGCAAGGGGCGGCAATGAATTTAGGGATCACAGTCCTGTGGGACTATATTAGGTTAGAACGGTGGGGAACGTATGGGTTATCATCGTCGGGTAGCATTTTTTGCATGGGAATGGGATTGTTGTTACAGGGGTAATTGCAAGTTCACATCTAGGGCGCAACAGCGGAATACCAAAGTGTCCGGCGTTTTATGTTTTTTTATTATTCTCTCTCATTTCTTATTCTGTTCATGTTTCTTTTTTTTTTATTCTTTCAGTATTCATCTTCCTATTTGCAATAGTAGACCCTTTTAAACATTAGGCGATTCATAAATAAATGACCAACTCACACCACCTGCATGCCAAAAGGTGAAATTGTTTATTACGCCGTAGTATCACGGGCCGAACGCTTAGCGCTATCAAAGAATCGATCCAACTATAAATCACGCACAACCGGGAAAATTTCAGATTTGCAAATTCAAGCTCATGAACCACAAGGCATTCCCTTCCTACGCTCCGTGACGGTTTGTGCAGTGCAACTATCTTTGTTGGTCAATTTACCCGCTACAGGAACAACTTCTGTTGGTTGTTTATAGACTGGCAAAAATATAATTTGCAGAGCTGGAGACTGGACGGGCTACACCCGAGGGGCATGTTGAAACCGCAAGTTGATTACGAGTCATGTGCAGTTGTCTATTACATCAATATATAGAAACATCCCGACCCGTCGAGACGAGGACTGTAATCAAAACTGGGCGCCAAAGTGCTCTCAGCACGACGTCACGACAAGAATTTTGTGCCTCAGAAGCATAGTCCAGAGACCCCTTTTAAATTTTGTACCCTTCGCCGCTGTCGTCATCGTATTTCCCCCATATGGTTATTGGCGGTTCATTATAGGTGGGACAAAACCGTATAAGAGTGAGGGGCCCTTTTTGTTATCACGACCGTTTTGCTCTGTCTCGCCCATGCTCTCAACAACACCACTTGCCTTGCCCATCCCGTCTACTCTATCCTTTTCTATCACCTACTTAAGCATGTTGCTGTTGACCCTTGCCGTCGTTATTGCCGCCGCTGCTCAGGCATCCGGCTTCAAGATCCCGAAAAACCAGCCGGATGGCGTCTACATAGTGACAGTCGACGCCGGCGGCACCGAGGAGCATATCCGCATCGGCGACAGTGGCAACGTGCCGACCGTCAACATCAAAGAAACTCATGATAAGGCGCTGCAGGAGCCCAACAGAATCCAATGCTTCAACCAACACATGTTGCTGAACGCCCGCCAACACGGATGCGGCAAACAATGCCCTTGATGTACAGTGCGGCAGCTATCTCGGCGTTGACGGAAACAAGAGCATATACTCCAAGAGCGGCTGCGTCGTGGCTTACTATTGCAACTGGAATTCCAACAGCTGCGATGCCCCTACACGGCAGCTCTTTTCTGCCAAAATCACAGACCGGTGCGGCCGTTACATTCCCGGCACCGCCACGTTCGACGACCAGCAGCGGACGCACTTCGCGTACGGATACCGAGACGTTTGCGAACCGCAGAGCGGCGATGACTTTTGCGGCTATTAGTGGTGGAACATGAGTTACATACGGTATGACTGCAATTGTACTTGTGCGTCATACGAACTCCACAATTTTTCGGGAGCACAAAAAGCAGTCTCACAAACGGGCAGCGCGGACGAGATGTTGAAATATGAATAGGAGAACTACTTGTAAAACGGTATGTACCATTACCAAACAAGGTTAGCCAATGATGTCTTCACGTGGTGCGATACGGTGGTCTCTTGATGCAGTATGGGTTGGAACGTACAAGGAAATCCATGTTAAAATTTTATTTACATGAGCATAGATGCACCAAAGATATTCAAACTATGCCAGCCCCATCATTGGTATACGTTTTCATTTCCCTCCCTGAAAGGATGCATTGTATATTTTTATTTTCTGTTGTCCTTGCTCGTCACTCCACGCTTACCGCTGCGACAGCATGTTCAGCGCACTGCCGGCCAGGATAAAGCCGGCCTGGTCCTTGCTCACGGTGTGCTTCACCGGCACCACAAACTCCTCGCCCGACGACGCCTTGGTAACCTTGAGCTGCACCTCGCCCTGGCCACGCGCCTGCAGCATGTCGTACAGGCCGACCGTCGCCACCACGTCGCCCGCCTCGATGCGGTCGTAGTCGGCCTCGTTGGCAAACGTCAGCGGCACCACGCCCTGCTTCTTGAGGTTCGTCTCGTGGATGCGCGCAAACGACTTGGTTACGACAATGCGCGCGCCCAGGTACCGCGGTTGCAGCGCCGCGTGCTCGCGCGCGCTGCCCTCGCCGTAGTTGTGTTCGGCAACGACCAGCCACGGTTGGCCGCGCTCGCGCCACTGCTGCGCCAGCTCGGGGATCGTCGACTTGCTGCCGTCCAGATCGTAGGCCACGTTGACCTCGCCCGTCGCCGCGTTGACGGCCGTATTGAGCGTGTTGGCGCTGATGTTGGGCAAGTGGCCCTTGTACTTGAGCCAGGGCCCTGCCGCCGAGATCGTATCCGTTGTGCACTTGCCCTGCACCTTGACCAGCACACGCAGGCCCTCGAGGTCCTGGTTCGGGAACGGCTCAAACGGCTCCAGAATGGCCAAGCGCTCCGACGTCTTGGAGATGGCCACCTCCACCGACGCATCGGGCTGCTGCACCAGCGCCGCAAACGCCGCGCGACCCTCGTCGAACGGCTTCGGCGGGCCCTCCAGGCCGTGCGGGGCCGGGAAGCGGAACTCGCCGCCGTCGGGAGTGGGGATGTGGTCCGTCAGCGGGTTGAACGTCGTCGAGCCGGCAAACGCCAGCGCCGTAACGATCTCGGGCGACGCAAGGAAGTTCATCGTCTCCAGGTTGCCGTCGTTGCGGCCGCGGAAGTTGCGGTTGTACGACGTGAAGATGGCGTTCGAGGTGCCCTTCTCGACACCGTCGCGGCGCTTCCACTGGCCGATGCAGGGCCCGCACGCGTTGGACAGCAGCACGCCGCCCGCCTTGTCGATTGTCTCCAGGGTGCCGTCGCGCTCGAGCGTCGCCCGGATCTGCTCGCTGCCGGGCGTCACGTAAAAGTCCGACACGGGCTGCAGGCCCGCCGACGCCGCCGCCTTGAGCAGGCTCTCGACACGCGTCATGTCCTCGTACGAGCTGTTGGTGCAGCTGCCAATCAGGCCAGCTGAGAGCTTTTGGGGCCATGACTCCTGCTCGACCGTCTGGCGGAACTCGGACAGCGGGATCGACAGATCGGGCGTGAAGGGCCCGTTGATGTGCGGCTCGAGCTCCGACAGGTCGATCTCAATCAGCTCGTCGTACTCGGCACCCTCGTCGGCGGAGAACTCGAACACGGCGTTCTTGTCGTTGGCCGCCGGCGCTTGCGTGCTACGGAACTGCTGGAACCGTGCAGCGTCCTGTGCGGCCTGGTCCCGCCGCGTCGACACCAGGTAGCGCGCAGATGCCTCGGTGTACGGGAACACGGACGTCGTGGCACCGACCTCGGCGCCCATGTTGGCCATCGTGGCCATGCCCGTGCAGCTCAGCGTCTGCACGCCAGGTCCAGCGTACTCGATAATAAAACCGGTACCGCCACGCACCGTCAGGCGGCCCGCCAGGTGCAGGATGACGTCCTTGGGCGACACCCAGCCGCTAAGCTGACCCGTCAGCCGCACGCCCAGGATACGGGGAGCCTTAAGCTCCCAGGGGGCGCCCACCAGCGCCTCGACGGCGTCGGCACCGCCCACACCAATGGCCACCGTGCAGAGACCGCCGGCGTTGGGCGTGTGGCTGTCGGTGCCGAGCATCATGAGACCGGGGATGGCGTAGTTCTCGAGCACAGTCTGGTGGATGATGCCCGCGCCGGGCGGCCAAAAGTCAATTCCGTACTTGCGCGCCGCCGACTCGAGGAACGCAAACACCTCGCCGTTGGTGCCGATGCCGGCCTCCAGGTCGGCCTCGGCACCCTTCTCGCCGACAATCAGATGGTCGCAGTGGATGCTGGCGGGGATGGCCGTCTGTGGCAGGTTGCAGGCCATGAACTGTAGTAGCGCCATCTGTGCAGAGGCGTCCTGCATGTTGACACGGTCGGGCTTGAGCTGCAGGTTGGCGGTGCCGCGAATGGAGCGGCCATTGTTTGTGTCCGTGAGCAGGTTCGTCTCGACATCGTCCAGGTGGCTGTACAGGATCTTCTCGGCGAGCGTCAGCCGGCGCTCGGCGCCCAGCACACGCCGCACAGTGGCATACTTGTTGTAGAGGCGCTCGTAGACAGTGGGCAGGGGGGCGGCATCGTTGACAGTCGAGAAGAGGCGACGGGCAGCCGAGGGCAGGGCGCGGCGTAAGGGCTGCTGCTGGAGCTGGAGAGAGAGAGAAACAAAAATGTGGTCAGCCAAGACGTAGAACCAAAGAGGAAGGTCGTTTGCGTTGCGGGGGACAAATGACGACGCTTACCCTGGCCAGCGCGCCGGAACGGCTAGCAAGCGCAATAGGCCCCATGGCGGCTCTGTGAGTCTCTCAGTCTGTCCTCTCGGTCGGCTGCAAAGGAAGAGGGACCGAAGAACTGTGGTCGTGATCGTGGGGAAGGGTAAAGGTGGTGAAGTGCGGGAAGTTGTCACTGTTCAAATCGTCCAGATCAAATTTTGTGGGGGAAGGAGCGATCCGCTCTACCAAACGCCAGGGACGAAAAAAAAAAAATAGTGTGCAATTGACACTTATGGAAGGCACCATAACCTGCCCGCAATCGGAGCCGACAGCGGGCAAGCACGTAGTGGGTCGAATGGCAGGTGCCATGGTGTAAGTGTCAGCCAATCAGCGGCTAGTCAATTCAAGCAACTGCACCGTATTCCAACCGCTGTGTTGAGTTGCATAGGAATAGATGGCAATGCGGAACAGACTGTGGAAAACGTACGTCATGTTGTGGAGGGTTTGGAGTCGATAGAAAAAGGTGAAATTAATCCCAGAAGCCAGGTAGAGACAGCTAGCTAGGCTGGCTCAAAGCCATCACAAATCGCGGCTGTGGCGGGAGGCCGACTATATTGAGTATCAATCTTTAGGTCTGAAACGTGAATTTGTTGAATTGACTTAAAACATGGTATGAACTTGAAGAAACACAAAGCAACATACTCCAGCTTTGTGTCTTATTCCGTGGTGCATAGCCGTGCTTGTGTTTATGAAGACGTGCCGCCATTAATACATATCGCCAAACGCCATAATAATCGTAGCCCTTCGAAAATACCACGGAATTGACTTGAAATAATCAAAAGAAATCACACTCATCTCCTCTATGCAAGCTTCTGTCGCTTGGCGTCCACGCTTGCTGCACCAGCAGAACCCGCAGCTACTATAGTCCCTCCGTTCACCGGCACATTGCTTGGCACATCCGCAAGAGGCGGTCGGGACGCGCCGGTGGTAGAGTCTGTTGGCGGGCCACGTTTCATGGGTGGAGGCCGGAATTGGTTCCGGTTCGCGAGGGGGCTCGCTGTGCTAGGCGGTGCTCCGATGCGCCGGATCGGCTCCATTCCCGGGTGATGTACACCGCTCCGGGTGGTCATGCCACCAATGGCAGGCGCACCGGATGGCATGTTGGACGCGGCAGCAGGAGAACTGGTAGAGGCTGACGCGACATTTGATGCCGCGTTGGCTGATGGCGGCAGCGCGATGCTGCCACTTGGGCGGTTGAGGCGTGGGATCGGCTTGGACGAATTGTGGTCGAACCCAGGCGTTTTGCGGATCGAGGGACTTTCGGCCTTGGGGTCGAATAGGTGTTCACCCTGAATCTTCGGGACCACCGCGGGGAGGGGATCCCCACCGCCGACCTTGGCGACAGCACGGGCCGACAACCAGGGGGTGGGTTCGACCTCGCCTGCACCGCCGGCAGCACCATTGTTACCATTGCCGCCGCTACTATTCACAGTTGAAAGTGGTGTTGGTTTGACGTTGTTGTTGTTGTTGTTGTTGTTGTTGTTGCTGTTGTTGTTGTTGTTGTTGTTGTTGTTGCTGTTGTTGTTGCTGTTGTTGTTGTTGTTATTGCTGCTCCCGTTATGATTGCTGCCGTTGCTGCCGAAGCCCTGTGGCCTTTGGCCTTGCTGCTGCGGCCCGTTGGTCTGCTGGTGGTTCGCACCAGGCTGGTAAGGTCTTTGCCCAAACCCGTTGCCACTGCCGTTCCCGATGGGCCTGGCGTTCATTGGTGTCGGCGTTTGCGGAGCCCCTGGAGGCACGCCCGGCCTGGCTGGTCTCTGCTGGTTGTTGTAGTTGCCGTTCTGCTGTGGGACGACCTGTCGCAGTGGACTCGTGTTCCTCGAGCCCACGCTCTGCTGAGGCGGGGGAAGTGCGGGCACAGAGGATTCGCGGACGACAAACTCATCGGGGTGGCCTTCGTCGGTTACACAAAAGTCGGCCTCATCAAAGTCGCCGAGCAAGTCATCGTCAAACATGTCTGCCGCAAATTCGGACGTGTCCGCTAGAACAGACGTTTCGGTTTTGACGCTTGCCGCGACCGCTTGCGGAAGCCGCGCTGCCGCTGTCGGCACAGCCGTCGCGACGGCCGTGGTCGTATCGTCTTCCGACTTGACGACGTAGTCGGCATGCCGGTGAAGGCCCTGCTCGGCAAACGTGCGCTTGTTCACGGGCACGGCCTTCATCTTGGACACACGCTCCACATACTTCTTGTCGTAGATGCAGTTGCCCAGGACGTTACCGAAACTACGCAGGGCACGCTTGAGAGCGTCCGTGGTGCCCTCCTTCTTGGCCTTTTCGAAAGCGGCGGCTTTGCCTTTGCAGTTCTCAATGTGGCCGTAGCCAATGTCTTCGTGATACGTGCCATCGCGAAGCGTCACCCGGACAATGACAGACAGCCCGACAGAGATCTTTAATGTTTGCGGGTGTTCGTCAACGAAATCGACTTGGATGTTCTGAATCGACGACGACCAGCCGTTGAAGCCAAAGACCTCGTTGGCGAGCGTAATGACTTTCTCAGCGGCGATGTAGTGGACTTTCTGACCAGAGGGACCGGAGCGTGCGGACAGATACTCGGGGCCGAGCTGTTTCTCGAGACGGCTTTGGAGGGTAGCAATCTCCTGGGCGGTATACTCGGACAGCCGCTGTGCGGGTTGCTGTTGCAGGTTTTGTTGATTCATGTCGCCGAAGCCCTGCTGGGGTTGTATGTTTTGGAAGGGGTTGGAGATGTGCTGGTGCTGGTCTCCTGGGCTGCGTAGATGTCAGTACGAGGCAGATCGCGGTCGTAAGTCACAGAAAGCGGGATTGACGTACTTGGGCATCTTCGAGATCAATCCCGAGGATGAGTCGGGGCGGACAAACAAAAGTCGCAATCGACTGGCGCCGTATCAACAAATCTGTTCACGGGAGACGCGTCTTGATGGGACGAGATAGGCACCACACTGTGTTAGCAGGACTGGGTGCATAAAAGCAAGCTATCAGATTCACACAGGACAGTGACAGTGCCCGACAAATGGTCGGACGGCCGTCTTTCGGGATGCGTGATGCGGACGGGGCTGGTTGGAATGGCTAGGATGTGGACTTGCGTCTGCTGGCGCCTCCTGTGCGTTGCTAAAGTATTACCAAACGATAGGCAGGCGCGACGTGCTGAAGACGCGACTTGAGAATGGTGTTACCAAAATGACTCGTGGTCACGTGCAGACAAAGTAATTACAGTGGACCGCGGCACTGGAATTGGGGCGTTGCCTATGCTACCGCCAAACCCGACCACCTGGGTTGACTACTCGAGACCTTTCAGGGCTGACAGGCTGGACGGGGCCCTGTGGAACATCGGCCGTAGCGTGCGCGGCCACTAATACGACATAAAATTGCCCACACCCACTGAACCAACATGGAAGCACCCGCAGCCAACTTACGATGTAGGGGAATGCACATAAGACAAAGCATTATCTTACGTATCTTTCCATAACTCTTGTCCTCCGTCGGAAATTTTAAATGGAACATGATGGTGCACAAGTATGCTTCTTTCATCCTTTTCTCACCGTTTCCCTTGTCTTGTCTCGGTCGCGAAGGTACAACCGTGGACTGTGAACGAGTGGTTTGACGGAATGGGCTTAAATAAACATGATGGGGGTTTCAAACAATGAAGGCGCATCTTTCGAAACAACGTCATGAAAAAGACGGGGAAAGTAGCTGATGCGTCGCTGCTATTTTTGCACACGACACAAATTAAAAGCTTGGCGGGGTGCGGCCGAAGATGGGTGGGTGGCGGCGGAATCTGAAAAAACTGAAAAAAAAAAAAACCTGAAAGAAGAATAGAAGAACTCAAAAGGATGAAAATGTACTCCGGTGATCGCCACAACCGAGGATCCCCGAGAACAGAACACGGAAGGTTTGCTGGAGCATAGCAAAGCCGGAGATCAGGGGGCTAGCCGAACCAGAAAATAAGACAGGCTGGGCGGAACATATCAAGGTGAGGCAACGTATCGCGCATCTCATCAAGGACAAAGGGGCTGTTACCGTGGACAAACAAAACGTTCCCCCATCTCGAACTATAAAGACCGTCGTCCTATGATTTAAGACCATGAGTATATTGTTGGAATACTTGTATGAACAAGCACGTGGGCTGAGAATGAGAGTCGATTACCCGGCTACAAAACCATCATGATATAAACACGACAAAAACGCCATACAAAAACTTGGGGGGAGAAATGACGGACATGAAAGGACGACATGCGAGCACCCTACCCGAAAGACTCGATCCTCCCTACCGTATATTTCCCAACATGGAAACACGAAGCACATGGAATGAATAGAAAACACAGAAACACAGAAAGCACAGAAGGGAACTAGCAGTAACAACGTCACCAAGAATCATTTCCATAAAAAATGACAAGAGCCAAGAACATGGCGATGCCGGTAGGCAGAATGGTATCATGGATCAAGGTAACGGAGTCTGCGCGACCAATCCATGAAGACAAACGACCACGGAAGTGCACGTACAAAAGAGAATAAGGTGGATGACAAAAAGATAAAAAACGCCGCCTAAATATGGATGGTTCCTTGGGTCCCCTGAATTCTATTGAACGCTGGCCGTTATTAACACCGGTGTGATGAGGGTCGAAGCAACTAGAACATGAAGGCGAAAACAACAAATTGAAAAAAAGACAAAAAAAATGTCAAATGACAAAGGCAATATACCAGATAGAGGGTTCGTGGGAATGAACGAGAGTACGAGGAGGTTGAAATGAGGCCTGGGGGAAAATGCAAATGCAAAATAAAACGTCGTAAAGGTCGTTAAAAGTCGGTCGTGTGGGACAGTCTCCGGGCATGGCCCAGCTCGACAACATGTAGTGGTATGTCTTGCTCCTACCAGGGACCGACACGGACGGGCGAGCCAAAGGTGCCGTTCATCAGCTGGTTGCGGATGGAGTTGGGGTCGTTGGTGCCGCCTGTTGCACCCATCCAGCCGACGTGCGTCGAGAGCGCGCTCATGGCGGCTTTGAGACGCCCGCCCGACTGCTGGTTGTGTTTGGACAGGATCTGGTCCCAGTGCTCCGACAGAAGCAACGACGTGAAACCGCCGCCGCCGCGCTTGGACGCCTCCTGGATGACGACGGCCCAGGCGCGGGCAATCTCGTCGTAGGCACCCTCCTTGTGCTGGCGGTACGTTGGGCTGTCCCAGTCGGGCAGCGTGTGGACGATCTTGGTCGCGCCGTCCAAAAACTCAAGCGAGGCGGACGTTTGGGACTCGACGGGTGGCAGGAACTGGCGGGTGTATTCGGAGATGGCTTCGACAATGGCGATGAGCGGCTGCTTGACGCGATAGTAATTGTAGTCGGCGCTGGAGTGGCCGTACGGCATGGCAGAGCGGAGGCGGTCCTGGTACTCGCCGAGGAGCCGCAGCGTAGATGCGGGTGTGGGACGCGGCGCGTTGTCGGCGACCTGCTGCGAGATATCCGGGTGGTGGTCGCAAATGGTCTGGAGGATGGTGCGCAGCTGCGAGGCATCGAGGGCCTCGAGCAGGCGAGGCAGCGGCAGGGGACGGCCTGCCATTTCGGCAGCTCGGGCTTTCTTGACAGGACGGGAGAGCTGGCGGTTGGCGATGGCGGGCGAGCTCATGGGCGAAACGGACATTTCATCACTACCGTCATCGTCGGCTTTCCGCTTCTTGGAGGCGGCCATGGTTGGGAAAGGAGACACTGGGTTGTAAGCACGACAGTCACGACTGGTGAGAGGAGACAAGAGGAAGAGGCAAAAGGAGGCAGACGTACTAGACCGGGAGGGAGACTGTCTTGGAGACTCGTGCTGGTGGGGGAAGAGAGCCGGTTGTGCTGGCAGCAAGACGTTCATTTTCTGAGAAAAGGAGCAATCGGATTGCAACAAGGGCCCGTATCACAAGAGCACGCGGCGATGGATGGCGGTCCCGAGGATGCCGTCCTTTCTGGGATGCAGATGCCGTCGATGAAAGGACTGTGGTATATTTGTGCCGGGCAAAACGTCGGTCCGGCAGGCGGTAGCCGTTGTTGGATGTGGTGATGATTCGAGGTCGTTCAGAATCGGAACCGCGGGATGGGCGAATACGGCGTGGACACGGAAGGGCGGCGACGTCCAACTAGCGGCGAATACGTCGATACGAGAGGGACGGCGAGAGCGTACGCGAAGTATATCGACAAGGGAGAGAGATGAGGTAGAAACAAACGAAAAGCAAGAAGAGAGGAGCGATTAGAAAATGAGGAAGGGGGAAAAGAGGGCCTAAGACGACGGAAGGAAGAGGGAAAAGAGGAGACGGAAAAAAAGAGGAAAGAGGAAAAGAGGCGAGTCGCTCAGGCAAGCCAGGATTAGTTAGGTTGGGCTGGGCAGGGAATTATTGCGTGGCAGATGTGTGAGTGGGTTGTGTGCTGGGGGGCACGGGACGCAGGATAGCGTGTCTTTGGAGGCATCCTTGGACGGTTACTGGCTGAGGTCTACGCCTAGCCTGTCTTGCATCTCCTCTCCTGGTGGGCTCTGGGCAGCTGGCACTGTGCCGTAATAAGACAAAGACCCCCGGCGTGGCTGTTGTTGCTTCCACTCATGCGGCCAGGTGATGTGGGGCTGCCCCAAAGTTACAGGGCATTCACTGGATTAGTGGTTATGACAGACTGCCATCATCTAACGTCCAACCTTATCGCCCAGCGCAAGTTCAGTGAAGTGACGGGCAGTCTCCGCAGCGGAAACCTAGTCTGAGCCAAGTCACTCATATTTCATGGTAAGATACGAATAGCAGCCAGCAACAAACTGAGTTGCTCCAACATGAATAGGGGATTGTTTGAATGAATTTAATTACTGTCCCGTTACATACGGAAGCCATCTTTCGCGACACCGGCGAAGAAAACACACCACCGCCCGTCACCTGCAGGCAGCAAATCAAACAAGCACGTCCAAGGGCACACCCCGGGCGCCTTGGAACAGACCCGGCCGGGACAAGGTCAAGGTGCTTGCGGTGTCTGCTTGTACGTGTGCTCGGATGTGCCTTCGTGCATGTACGCGACTCTTTGACATTGGCTGGCCAGACTCCCCAGGATTAGCTCGTCAAAGTGGTGTGTGGATGGCGGCCAATAGGTGTCTCAGGGCATGCGGGGGCTCGCTGTCGGGGGGAAAGTACCCCCATGCCGACTTTTGGCATACTATTCCTCCGTAAAGATGTCCGAAGAGGGAAAGTATTGGAAAATCGCATCCCTTTCTCTCCCAGTTAGCACAGGAAACTGCAGGTGCGTGTGTCAAAAATGGAGAACAGTCCAAGACGGCAAGAGGAGAGGAAAAGATGTGGCCGTCGATCAAAAGGAGCGCTTACAGCGAAGACACTGACACAACTCAGTCGCTCGCCCTTTGCCCTACCTCGTCACCTTGCAGGCTTACAGAGTTGCAGAGCCCGAAAGCCGGCCAGCAGACGACATTTGAGGCTTGATTGTCTGAACAGGAGCCTAGCGGCCGGAGTTTTAAAGCACAGAGTGATACTTGTTGACAAAGGAAGATGTATGGCGGTAAGCGCCGTGTAATCATCCTCAGCTAAGCCTAATCACCTGACAACTAACAACTGCTCTTGCTGTAGCAGGCAGAGGTAAGATACGACGAACTCCACAAACAGAGACGTTTCAAAAAGTGGGCCCAAGGCGGCTGTTGTTTACGGAAACTCCCAGCCTGGAAAAAAAGGCACATAATGCTCCGTACAGGCAGGTGCGAATTGGCAGAAATGGAACGAGGCACGTGAACAGGCAATTCCACTGCCTTTAAATGAAAAAAGAGGTGAGGGTTTTATAAACATATCAGAAAATGCAAATTTAAATTCAAGCAAAAGGAAATTCAAGGGCGAAATAAAACGTATTCGACACGTCTCTGAAGGGCCATAGTAACTTAATTACAGCGTGCACATGGCCCAAAAGCTTATCGTTATCGCCCCACCGATCATTTTTTCGATAAGGAAAAAGTCCAAGTCGAAAAAAAAGGCGGAGTCCGGACGATACGGCAGAACTTTTGTCTCTCTTCGCCAACGTCAAACTACACCGGATATTCGATAGACAAACCCGCCATCCTTGTCCTTCCCAGATCCAAGTATGGCGACAGATATCGAGACAAAGGCAGCTGCCGCTGCACCAACCGAAGGCCCCTCCTCTCCCTCCTCGCCGTCGGCCCAGAAAAAGCGGAAAGCCGCCAACGACGATGTCCCCGAAATCGAGGTCGACCTCTCGCTCCCCGAGCCACCCTCCAAGCGAGCGAAGCGTGCTCTGAAAAAGGGCAAGGTTCTCCCTGCCAAGCCCAGATCCGACGATGAGGGCGACGATGACATCCCGGCCAAAGGCGGAAAGTCCGGTGACAAGGACGACAACAAAAAGGCCGAGCGCTCCCAGTTCGGCATCTGGATCGGCAACCTGCCCTTTACCGTCACCCGTCCTCAGCTGTTCCAATGGTTCATTGACTGCTCCGGCGGCGCCATTTCCGAGGCCGACATCACCCGCGTGAACCTGCCCCTGGGCAAGCGCCAGCCACACCAGCAGCGCCCTCACAACGTCAATGCCGACGGCAACGGCAACGTCGCGCCGCCCAACAAAGGCTTCGCCTACGTCGATTTCCTGACGTATGAGGCCCAGGTGGCCGCGACAGCACTGTCCGAGACGGAGCTGGATGGCCGCCGTGTGCTGATCAAGGACAGCAAGTCGTTTGAAGGCCGTCCGGCCAAGGAGCGTGAAGGTGCCGGTCCTGGTGCTTCTGTTGCAACCGCCGGTGCTGCTGGTGACAACGCTGGCAAGAACGGCGCCGACGCATCGGCAGCGCCCGCGGCCGGCATGACCAGCAGCAAGATCTTCGTCGGCAACCTGGGGTTCGATACCACCGAGGAGGATCTCCGCCGCCACTTTACGCCCTGCGGACCCGTCGCGTGGGTCAAGGTCGCCACGTTCCCAGACAACACGGAAAAGTGCCGTGGCTACGGCTGGGTGCAGTTTGGCGGCAAGACAGACGACGGCCAGAACATTACGCCCGAGGCCGCGTCCAAGGCGGCCGCCGCGGCTGTCACAGGCTTTGCCAGGATTACCGAGATGGTCGACACCGAAGAGGACTTTGCAGCCGAAGCAGCCGCCGCTGCCGGGGACAAGGAAGACGAAGACCTTGTGGCCGACACAAAAGAAGCGATCAAGCCCGCACCACGCACACGACAGCGCAAGTGGTGGGTCAACCAGCTGAAGGGCCGTCCGCTCAAGATCCAGTTCGCCGAGGATGACGCCATGCGCTACAAGAAGCGCTTCCGCAACGGCGGCCGGCCACAAGGTGACGATGGCGAGGGCCGTGGCGGCAACAAGGCCCGCGAGCCGAGAGAAAGACGGCCCCGTCCCGACAACCAACAATACAAGCATCAGGACGCCACTGTCGCCTACCGGACCGGTGCCATTACGGCTTCCCTCGGCAAAAAGACGATGCTAGAGTAGACTTCTGGGGCCCTTTCCTCTGTACGCCGTATTTCATTGGCAGGTCTTTTATTTGCGTCCTTAATTTTGGTATCTTACGCATTGTATGGCTAGAGCGATATATTCCTTGTTTTACATATATGACACATGTATAATTTATTTGATCAAAGTTGTTGGGGCGAGGCTGCTTTGTATGCTGTCTCGTTGCAGGACGCGTTACTTTCATGTGATCGATCCTACTGCAAATCTGTCTCGTCCAGATGATTCATGTGTACCAGAGTCAAAAGTAAGACATAATATGTGGGTTAGTCACACGGCTTTGACATTCTCAATTCCATGGTAACGGGGCAAAGATATTCTAAATAAAACTTTCATTGCATGTGACGAGAAACATAAGAGTATGGTATCAAAAGCAAAAGTCCATTGTTTCAATCTGTTAAACGTACAAAGACAAACACAGACGCAAAAATTGAGATAAAATACATCCAGAGACAAATGCATAAAATCAGGACGTCGTACAACAGAGTCAGCCCATCCAGGGCTCCGGCAACGATCCGATACAGCAGAACTTCAGGGAACAAGTGTCAAAAGGAAAAATCAATAAACAGAAGGAAATCAAAGAGACAAGCACGACGAAAACAAATCAGACCAGAATAATAAGAAAACCAGAAACGAACTTGAGCAAACAATATTCTCATAAAACCCAATCCCAAATAAAACAGATCAAAAGCAGCAATTGATTGCGCCAGGCATAGCTTATTCGACTACCATGAACCTGTGTCGTCAATAAACGCCTACTTGCGGGCCTTCGTGTCCTCGCCCACCAGAGACTCCTCGTCAGAGGCATCAAGAATGTCGTACTCCTCGTCCGTCAAGAAGCCGTCGTCCGAGTTTTCAACAGTCCAGTCCTCCTCGTCCTCAAAGTCGAGCGCAGTAGTCTCCTTAGCGAGAGCCGATTCCACAGCTTCATGGATGCTGTCCACGGGCGACTCCGTCTCAAGCTTGGGGAAGATCATCTGGCTCTCGCTGGCGGCCTCCGATTTCTCATCGGCCTTCGGCTCAGACTTCTCAACCTCCTCGCCGGTCTTCTCGGTGGAATCAGCCTTGGTCTCAACATCCTCCTTGGCGCGCACGTTAATGTCACACCAAAGGCGGTCACCGAACTTTATGCCGCCCTTGGTGGTTAGGCGCCAGTACGAGATGATCCGGCCGAGGCGCGAGGGAGAACGCAGCAGAATCGTGAAGGAAGCCTCCTCGCCAGGAGCCAGGGACTTGTAGCAAATGGTCGACTCAGACGACGACACGAGCTCCTGGATGCCGGCCGGGCTGTTCGGGTCGACGTGACCCATGTAGTCACCCCCAACGAAGGTGACGCGGCAGCCTGCTGGCCAGGAAACGGAACCCGTGTTGCGCATGGTCCACGTCTGCTCAAAGGTTTGGTTTGGGGCGAACGAAGTGCCGTCCGAAACAGTCTCGGCCTTGAAGCCGGCGCCGAGGTTGCGGGCCAATTTAGCCTCAGGCTCCTCCTGGACAGTCTTCTCCTTCGTCACCTCCTCTTTCTTGATCTCCTCCTTGGCCACAAGGTCAGCAGACGTGGCGGGGGTGTTGGCAGGGGCCGCACTCGGCTCCATGTCCAAAACCGTCTGCACCTTGTTGGCGCTCAGGCTGCTCGTCTCCGCAGCAGGGGTGCTGACAGGTCTGTTGCCAAGGGAGGTGAACATCTTGGGGCGGCGGTCGCCCATGGTGGGCATACGACGACCGTTGTCGTGCTCGCCGGTGGTCGTCACCAAAACGTGGCGGACGGGCGTACGGAACTTGATAAGAGGGTGCGTCTTGTTGTGAGTGTTGCTGGGGCTGGCCTCGCAGGTAGCGCAGAAGTCCTTGTTGTCACACACGGCACACTTGTAGCGGTTACCACGGATTGGGGTGTGGAAAAGGCCGTTGGAAGCACAGTGGGGACCGTCGCAGAAGATGCCGTTGTGGATAACCTGATCATCTTCCTTGGTCATGACAGCCTCAGCAAGAGGTTCATAAATGGGGATGAAGCGATGGTCGGGGTGAATGAAACCAGCGTTCAAGACACAGTCGGAGCAGTAGTCCCAGTCGGGGCAGTCGCTGCACTTGTGGCGAACACCAGTGATGAACGCCTCACAGCCATCGCACACAGCGTTGTGGCGGTAGCCACGGCCGGCAGATAGGCGGCGAGTCACGTTCCAGCCGAACTCAGTGCCCTTGACAGCGGGCTGGAAGGCGTGCTTGGGATGGTGGCCATGGTCGTTCTTCACGAAGCAGGCCTTGCACAGATCAAAATCGAAGCACTCAGAACAATGCAGGAACTCGAACTCGGGCAGTTCACGAATGCAGTTGTTGCAGGTGCGGATCTGGTACTTGCGGAACGCCTTCGTGCGAGCGGCATCATCCGTAGTCGCGGTAGTGGGCTTGACGTCCTTAGCAACACTGGCCACCGCAGGTACCTTCTCTGTAGACGTCATAGGAGCCTTGTCCGCAGCCTTCTCCGACGTGGTGGCAGACGAGGCAGGCTTCGCCTTGGGCGAGATGCGCTCAGTCGTGCTGTTCACAATCAGGTTGTTCTGAATGTTGCGACGAATCATCCAGTGCTCCGGGTTGTAGCACGTGATACCAAGCTCGATGCACGTCTCGCAAAGGTCAAAATCGCCACCCTCGCAGGTCGAGCAGTGGTAGTGGGCGTCCGGAATCTTGCGCTCGCAAGAGTTGCAGCACACAGTGAAGGCGGCACGCGGGGCCGTCACTGTGGCGCAGGTAGCAACAGGGGGCGTGGCCTTTGTGGCAAGGTTGGGCGTAGGAGAGGCAATGGTCGCGCTCGAGTTGCTGTGGGCCCAGGTAGAAGGGTAGTCACGCGTGTACTTGGCGACCGGGATGGGCTTGGGCTTCTGGGCCTCATTCGAGGTAGCAGATGTCGACGGTCCTGCGAGAGGGTTGACGGGAGTCCTGGTTGGGAAGGTGAACGTCGAGAACGGATCGTGGTAATAACTAGACTGAGGCGGGATCGGACCAGGCTGCTTGCCGCTGGTGTTCGAGTTGAGGTTCATCTGTGCAATAGTTGCTTCCACGATAGCCAAGTTGCGGTCGGCTAGATCCTGGCGGCTCTGGTGGTTCTGGGCCATGCTCCGCATGGTCGCCTGGTAACGCTCGTCCAGTTCCTTCTCCCACTCGGTCTCAGTCTGGCCTTCGGGAAAGTGGCCAGGAATGTCGGGGTACGCGTCGATGCACCGCTGAACAACATCGGGAGTGAGCTCGTGCGGCTTCTCCTTGAACTCTGTCAGAGCTGCGAAGGCGCTCTTGAGCGAGGCCTTTGAGGAGCTCGCGATTGGGATAGCGGAGACCGTGGCGGAGGCCACAGCGGATGCCGTGGCGGTAGCCGGCACAGAGCCCAATGTAGTGGAGGCTTCTGCTGACGGGGCGGCCGGAGTTGGGGCCGGGCCAGCGATAGTGGCAGCAGGTGTGGATGAGGCATTTGGAGCTGCTTCCGGGATGTCCTCGATTGTGACAGGGCGAGGACCCGTCGATTTGGCCGCGCCCTCAGACTCAGTCTGCTCGGGCGTTGCGCTCTCGGTCTCGTGGAAGACAGCACGCAGCTTAAGCTTCTGCTTGGCCTTAGCAGCCCGCAGTAGCTGCCGGTATGCAGCCGGGTTTGTGCTCACGAGAGGGATGTTCTTGCCGGCCGAGTCTGAGAATCGTTCAAAATGGCATGGCGTACGTTCAGGAACAGCAAGGAACTCGCGAAGCTAGAGATGAGGGCAGCATAGAGTCAGCACAGCGTCAGCAATCAGAAGCTGTAACACATATCGAGAAAGGAAATTACTACCTTCTGTTCCAAGGCCGGCAGGCCGTCTGCAAGAACTCCATAGGGGATCTTGGTCTTCTTGTGTGCCTTGACGTCGTCTTCCACCGCGATTTTAACAGCGATGGGCGTGTCGGGCTGGATTGGCATAGATGGCGGCATTATCAGTGGCTGTATTTCGTAAATAGTATATATTTGCCGAAAATGCAAAAACGCAGTGCATTAGGTGACGGAGGTGACAACGGCACAAGTCGTATTCTAGCATCACCAGAATTAGTACTTATAGCCAACTCAGAGATAATACACGACGTGTGGTAGGAAAGCCCGCGTGCAAAAGACAAAATAAGCCTGGGGCGCAGATAAAACTGCCACCAAAACAGGAAATGTATAGAGCAGAAAAGTCAAAATAACATTGCGAAAACATCTTGCATCAGGAAGTGATGGACAGTTCCGAGGCCGTATACTTCAAGTGTGCCAAACAAGTACTCGGCCATCGACATGTCCGAAGCTCTTAGGACAGTTGGAACGATGAAATGCCCAGGGACAAACATGCTGTCCCATCAGGGAAAAAGTGAGAGCAGGCATTCGAGGCAAAACAGTATCGCGAGGAGATGTGTTGACCATATCTGAAGAGATTCATAGGACTTACATGTGCGAGGCAGGTAGTTCGAGCACTGGAGTGGATGCGATAAGCTCGTGGCGTGGACAGGACTGCAGACAAACGTCGATAAGAACAAAAAAGAATGCAAATGGGAGATGGACAATAGAGTTTGCGAACGTCAAAATAGAAGATGGATGGAGCGACGAGAAGACGGGATCCCGTCGATATTAATGAGGGGAAAGAAAGAGGAAAGGAAGCGAAGGAGGAGTGAGTGGAGGGAAGGTGCGACCGCTCTGGTTTTGTCGGTGAAGATAGTGTGTTGGCCTGAGTAGCAGGGCCAACTCCCGCCATAAGGGAAGGGGCCGACGGCGGAACGAAGGCTCCAGGCAAGTGTGGGAAGGAGTGAGGCAAGAGCGTGGTTGTCCCCCAGCAGGGGCCGTTTTAGAGAAGGTACAGGAAGGCGTCATGGTCATTGGTCAGCGAAGGCACTGAAAGTGGGGCAAAGAGAGGAGTCGCCTTAAAGCCCGCCCCCCAGGCAGTCAGATAATACGAATCGGGGGTGGTGGCTACGCAATAGGTGGGCAGGCTTGCAAAAGACGAGCACCCATGGACAGTGAACGAGTACAGCAAGGCGAGTAAAGAGGCAGAGGCCCGCAGCAAACCTGGGACCGTGAACTGAGGACGGCGAGAACTTACGCATGAGGCGACGTGTGGGCCCCACCTGCCCAGCCTTTGGAGAGAGAAAGGGAATGGCGGTGGGGCGGGGATGGAGGTCACCCAATTAACACAATGTAAGCGGAGGAAAGGTGCAAAGGGATGCAAATGCGGCGCGAAGGGCAGGAGCGAAGGGAAGGAGCGAAACACTGCCGTCAGTGCCACTTTCCCATGGGTTTATTTGGTGCCCTGTTCGAGATCTGTTGGTCTACCGAAGGTCCTTTCGTACCTTCCCTATTCTCTCGCGGGCAGTTGGTCTTGTCCCAAGAAACTGCACGTCGACGGTGGACTAAACACATATGCGGCGATCCAGCATTGTTAGATACAGGGCCGCCGATGCCCGACTGCGTATCTTACGCGAGGAAGGCCCTGGAGTGATAGCATTCAAGTCAGGCAGGCGATGGCGTATTTAGTGGATAACGGCGTGAATAAGAGCACATGCCCAGAAGGGAAGTGGGGCGTCAGGCGGGGCCAAAAGTCTAAACCCGTCAGAGCCCTCGTGCCTCTATCGCTGGTCTACGGCGTCATGCCCTCGCAGCTCTCGCAGCTCTGGTCCAACCGGGCATACATTCGGCTCATTCACGCACCGATGTACAGAGTGCGAAACACCTTTACAGAGGCTTACCCCCAAAAAAATTAGAGGCCGTGAGGCCTGTCCGCATGTTTGCGTGGAGTCTGCAGTGACAAGTATGCTGTACCGCACAATCGAAAACAAGGAAAGAGCGGCCGGGCAAAGGTTAAGAGGAGCTGTATCGTAAAGTTCAAGGAAAGGGCGATGGAAAGTCGGCCGAGGGGCAGGTGACTGCTCCAGCGATCCCCTATTCTGTCTGTTTTTTTTTCTTCTTACCTTAAACACATACAACACATCCAAAGCATTTGCCATTATGGCAGTGATATTTGGGCTGCTCAAGCAGACGCTAGACAGCATTCGTCTGTCTACTGGCTGAGATCGTAACGGCCTTTAGTTCTTAATACCCTTGCCAACACGAGCGGCTTGCTTTGTTATCCTTGGCCACGCCCAGCCTGATGGAGCTGACAGAGGCCCCCAGCTCGATCTTTCAAGCTCCTCGCCCCAGGTTACCCGAGAGCTCCGTGCCCACCGCCAAGGCCCCGCAGGCACCAAAAGAGACGGCGTCACGCGTGGCAAACGGCGAAGGGAGCATACGACAGAAGGTGATACGGCATTACGAGATCACCTTGAGGCGATTTTCGGGATACAATGGCAACGTACGTCGTCACTGAAGTGGTGACAAGGCTGTTGCAAGCTGACGACGTCAAGCATCGAATATGGACCATGTGTAACGCCAGGCCCGGACGTTTTGTCGCCCCTTACTCCGTGCTGCAGGTCTGAAATGCATGGCACAGAGCCAATTTGTGAGAGGGAGTACTCTGAAGTCATGTCCTTCCTTTCGATGGGACGCATAAAATCGAGACCTCAAATGACAGCTCTGTGTGCTATCAGCTATCCTACGTCACCACAAGCAAGATTTCCAACAGTCGACAAGCAACCGGACAGTATTACAAAGTACCTTCTCAGATACAGAAGTAAACTCGACTCGAGCTCGATGCAATGTCGTTGGTCTCTCGCCCATGTTGTCTCTACCACCCCTCTCTCTGCTGCAGCATTAGCGTGGGCAGACGAAGGGGCATTGGAGTGCTGAAAGTGGAGTGTGGCCCATGACTGGCAGCCTGACGTCGAAGCCGCACCTTGGTTTCTTATGTTTTTTATCCCACGCTGGTCTGGTTCTCATTGTTTCTCTATGGAGGCGGTAATTACGGCGTGAGGTACGCTGACCAGCATTTGAGCAAACAAAAGGCGACACATGACGAGAGAGCTTGTTAACCAAAGTGCGCATTTACGACGAAAAACAAAGCAGGCATTGGCTGAAGCTTCGTCATGCAGGACATGTGGGTCTGCAATGCAGACAAGAGAAAGCTGGTCGTCGGCATAGGACAAGACCATAATACCGACATTCGCTTCTTTTCTGCTATTGATTTACATTGGACAATTTACCAACCGAGTCAGCTTCGACGGTTGCCTGTCTTGGCCGGCTGGGCCTGGATCGGTCTGTGAGGGCGGAAGGCAACTCGACAGCAAACAAATGAAAACGACCAGAAGCATGACAGCAAACGAAACGAGAGCACACATCTGGGATTCAGAAGAGGTGGCAGAACAAAGTCTGTCACTGCCTAGAACATCGAGTCCCTAATTCAGATAGAGCCCAGGCGGCTAGCGAGTGACGAGGGGGCTGGACAGGCTGCTGGGATAGGGCGAAGACGCCGCCACCCGTGTTTGTGGTGGCCCCCTGCGTGTCTCAACATGTCACATTGCTTCAGAAAACAGGGCAGCTGGACACGGAAAAGCCAATGGCATGAAGAGAAAATTAAGCACGTCGGGAACATACAGCTTGGAGAGTCGACTCGGTTCCCATCAGCAAACAAATGTCAAGACACAGGAAATTTCAGGTCAATCTTGCCTGGTCGATTGTGACGAATAAGTAGGGAGGATGGCCGAGTTGCCCAACGATGCGGCTCTTGCTCATGTTCGCCTGCATGTCCGCCCTTTGCCCAATTGTCAAGACAGAGAAACGGCATACAAACAGAACAGGCATTGTTCGACCTCAAAAGAACCTATGAACGAGGCTTTCTGCCGCCTTGCGTCGCCTTGCCGAACTTTTGAGCCTCATCGTCTTTCCTCCCGTATTATACCGCCCAACCAGACCGACCGGTCGGGGCCGAGCTCTTCTAATCAGTCCCGTCCATCATGTTTGCGTTTCTTCTTTTCTTCTTTTTACCCTCCTTTTTTACCAGCAATTCGGTGTCGTTTCGAAACACAATTCTCCGATGAACATATTGATCGGCCATAAAACTAGTAAAAGCTACGTGGACTTTCGTGGCCAAATGCAATTTGGAAAAACAATTAAAGCGAAACTGTGCTTCGAGAGCACCATAACTCTGTGCACGGCCGCTTACAGGAGGCTGATATCCGTTTTCGTTTGATACCCGATATGAGCAGGATCGGGAGGAAAGAACCAATGTTAGGCCTGGGCATGCGTATACGGTGCGAAACTATGGAGTACAACATATGATATCAAGGAAATAAACGACCACCAAAAAAATAAAATAAAATAAAATAAAATAAAATAAAATAAAATAAAATAAAAAATCGATAGCCGTTGTCCCTAGCCACAAAGTGGAAAACAAATGTAGATTACACAACGATCATGCCCATCTAGATCGCCGTCGGTGAAATTCAAGTGCTCAGCTACCGGTCCCAAGAGCCATCAAGAAGGTTCTTCAACGTCTGCGTCAATGCCGCCTGGTCATATCGCCCCATGGCTTTCTTGGACGCTACAGTGGCACCGTCTCTGGCATCCTGGCTCTCTTGGCTTGCCTGGGTCGGAACGGCGAGACACTGAATCCCAAGATGACCTAGAGCCTCCTTGTCGACCTCTGGTGCGGCACTGCTGCTTGAACCGCCCATGTGCGGCGCCGAATCCAGATAGACCAAATGCGTCACATATCGATGGCACTCGCTGTCCTGCACTGGACTGAAGTCCGACTGGCTCTGCTTGCACGCCGCAACAATCGCACGCACAAAGTCGACAGCCGTCATCGCCTGGTGTCTCGGTCCTGTCTCACGGTCGAGACGGCTGTTGAGGATGAGTACCTTCTTCCGAGGTGGCTCGCTGCTGTCTTCCTTGCTGCCATTATGTGCTATTGCTGCTCCAACACCCCGCAGCACAAGACTCGGGATGATGCTGGTGTAGAGACTTCCGATGCTGTAGATGATGGCCTCGGCCTTCCGCAGTGCCGCGAGGGCTTTCGGGTTGGCTTGTGGCCGAATCTCGTGTCCGTAGGGATTGATGTACCAAATGCGGGAAATGCGCGAGGGCAGATCCTCTTCGTCCTCTTTGCTAAAGGTAATCTGTGGTTGCCGGAGCGCCGGCAATGATCCAGGCAACGTTGCGTCCTCAAAGTCAACGGCTGTGCTAGCACGTTTCCGTGCTTTCAGGCCAGAGCGAAAGACGGGGCCAGGCCCGGAAGGAACACGGCCATCTGTTGGGCCCACATCGACTTCTCCGGCGCAATCCATTTCACCACCGCCGCCACCGCCACCTGTGGCGTTCCCGGTGGGCGGCCCTCCATCCGGCAAAGCTGTAGGCAACGATGGATGGCTGATGTTTACCTGCCCAGCAATCGTCGTCCCGTCAACGAGGCCGGCCGAAATGTGGTGCGTAAAGTTGGAGTTGATCGCCGGCAGTACAGCAACATGGTCCGGGATACCGCAAAGCAGGGATAGGAGGAAGATGCCGGCTTCAAAAGAGCCCGAAAACAAACGAGCACCAGTTAGAAACAGGTTACCAACACTGGCACCGGCAAAGTTGAACACGGACGTCGAAGGCCGTGCCCGCTTCACAATCTCGAGGTTGAGCGTATTGAGAACGGCGCGGATCAGCTCACGCGTCGCACTGGGAACAAATGTCCACAGCAAGTGACGGGCCTCGACGAGATCCAGCCACTCGGTGCGCGCCTGGTTGGGGTCGGATGCACAAAGCCGGTGCTCAAACAGCGCCCGGAGAGCCCCCCTCTCGTTTCCTTCGTCATCGCTCGAAGGGATGAGACGTACAAGGCGGCCTAGGTTGACACGTTAGTTTGAGATGCAGGCTTTTGGAATATCCGACAAGGCATGTCCACATTTCAAAATAGAGTTGTTGACATACTTCGCACATCGCCCACGCCTGCCGTATTGCAATGTTAGCAGATCTTCGTCTTCGTCAAGCAGCGTGGGGGTTTAAGTGGACACATCTGCAGGTCACGTACTCGGGCCTCCAAAGAAACGAATTAGTTCAGAGGAGCTGCCGCCGTTGTCCGAAATTGGGATGATATAGGTAAGCGAACATGGTTGTTTGTTCTCTCGTTGTCGTGTCGTGTCACCCTTGTCGTCTCTCGAGAGGTGCTTGGCCACCGCTTGGAAGGCGTCCACGAGTGAGTTCGCTGCCGTCCCCCCAGAGAAGACACAGACACCGTTCGTCACAGAGTCAGCCGCTGTAGCATCACCGTTCGGGGTGAAAGCCGCTGTTGGTGCTATGGCTTGCATGGGTGATGACGAGCCGGGTGATGCAGTCAGGCCGGCCGACGTCGCAAGGATGGCAGCGGGCCGGATGGGGGTCCCTGTTCCGTCGTCCATTGCCGTGCAGGGAGTGAATGTTAAGGATCAAATGAGGCAAACAGAAAAGAGCATCGTCGCCTCTAAGAAGCAAAGCAATACAAAAAGGCAAGAGCCACAGCCCTCCCTTTATATCGTTCGTCCGTCGACCTCAATTGGCAGGACCTCAATCTTTAGAGATACACGTTACAAGAAGGAGCTACCATGCTTACAACAGGCGAGGCTCTGGTGGATGATAGCGGGCCTAGCGGGGCTCTCGCCGAAAGGTCCATCTCTGTGCCCCAGCTGCAAAATAAGCTAGAAACGAGCAGACACTTGTTGTCAGCTTGCACTTATTCCTTGTCTTCTTCCGTTTTACGACTCTCGCATCGATCCCGACAGATGTATTCTGCGATGGTCTCAACATCTACACCAACAGCCTTACATGGTCAATGTCGAATATGGGCATCTGACAGGCCAGGAAATTAGATATTCGCTGCGCCTCAGTGCCCAGTGTGGATTTTCACATAATACGGACCCATGTCTGAGTTTAAGAAGCGCAAGTTACGCAATATGCCGCCGAAGCTTTGCCGTGGTTTTGCAATCGTGTCCCGATCAAAATACTTTTGCTGTGTTTCCACTGTCTTCATATGTCAAAGTCGTGTGCTTCTAGAATGCAGACGTCTGCACTAATTCATTTAGCGTCTGAGTCACGCGAGTTGTTGTAAGCGCCTGATATTGAGTAAATATCGTCTTCCCAGGATATGTACTAATTTTGTAGGAAAAGGAAACGAAAGCACGAAATTACAATAAAATTATATTTTTTGACTTCCAAAATAACCATCACAGGGGTGAACAAAATACGTCGAGTGTCACGTTTTGTAACAATGAATGAGGACATAGTAGTCACTAACTGGTACATTTGCCAAGACATCATAGATGCCCATAGCCTGACCATTAATTCATCACTGCACGTTGGAAAGAGCTACACGTAATTTGGAAGTCAATTGACACGCTTTAGAATGAGAATTATCCAAGTATGAAGTAAGAGCGCAATGGACGATGCTGCAACGATATGCAATCCGCCGGATTATGACAGTGGCTTGGTATACATGACGCCTATGCTTTAACGGATGGAATTCCTGTACACGGACGAGGTACAGACGAGAAGGAGTACCGGAGTACCGAAAGATGGGGACTAGATGAAAGGGAATGAGACGAAGAACGAATGGTATTGACCAAGCATTACTGCGGATAGTACATCATGCCAGGTTGCCCTCCATAGTAGTATCCTTCAGCAGGTGCCGGCGTGACCATGCTGCCCATACTGGACATGTATCCGCCTTGCGGTGCTGGTGCTTGGGCATATCCCGGATAGGTTGGTACCGAGGGCATCTGGGATGCATCCACGTAATATACCATCCCATTCACCTCCTGTGCAACCATGTTGCGAGGGCCAGCACTCGCTCCGCCGGATGCGTCAACTTGACCTGGTTGGCCATAGGCGGACACGGGACCTTGTGGCGCGCCACCAGGGACGAAGCCTGGCATGTTGGCTCCGGAGGGCATAGTTGACGAGTACGTCGTTGGAGTGGCGTAGTAGTAGCCTTGCTGCTGCGCAGGTTGCATGACATAACTACCTGGGGCGCCGGCGTAATACGCTGGCCCGCCAGGCGTGCCTATGTTGTTTTGCTGCGGGTATGACATCTGTTGCTGGCCTGGCATGTTTGGCTGGAAAGGAGCAGCGTGGATGGCCCGTTCGGGAATTTGTGATAAAGGCGTGCCAGTGGTGTGGGATTGATATGATGGATGCCGCGAGTGCGATTCAGCGGGCGGGTAGCCAGACGGCATCGAAATAGGCACCTGCTGGTGGAATGCCATAGAGTACGGCTGCGGCGCTGAAGGCTGCATGGCACCAAGCGCGGCGGGGGATTCGATATTTTCGACGGAAACAGCTTTCTGCGGCCGGGGTTGGTGCATAGGCAAACTGAGACTTGGCCGGTTTTCTTGGAACGTCGGCTTTTGCGGCAGTGGATGGTGCTGAGGCGGTGGGACGCTACTGAGCGAAGAAGTCTCCAAAGGCTGGTGAGACTGGGATGGTTGGGAGGGCTGTGAGGGCTGTGATTGCTGCGATGTTTGAGATGGCTGGGAAGATTGAGTCGGTTGAGGAGGCTGCGGTGGCTGTGACTCCTCAGACGCCTGGGCCGGTGGGGCAGGCTGTGATTGCCCAGGCTTTTGAGAACTGGGCCGCGAAGGTGAAGGGGGAGGCCCTTGCGATGGTTGCTGGTTCGGCTGTGGGTTCACAGCCGGTGCTGCCGGCAGGGGGGCATATGGAGGCTGTTGCTGGGGATAGGAGGGCATGGGAATGGGGGCAAGCTCCATTGCAGGAACGATCATGGGCCCGGGCACAGCTGCAACGGGTATGCCCACCGGCATACCAACAGGCTGAACAGGGGGTCCAGCGGCAGGCGGTAGACGCACGACCGGACGGGCTGTGTTTTCCATCGCCATGGGCGGGCGGGAAATAACCGAGCCGGCTGGTGATATAATGAAGTCCCTCCCGGTGTCTTGGGCAATAGACGAACGACGACTAAGAGCGACACTGGGGGAATACATGCTGCCGTTGTAATAGCTTCCACCAAAGACACTTGTGCGGCGCGAGAAACCCGACACGGAGCCCATAACAGACTTGTTGCGACCACCGCGGGTGCGCTGCTGATTGGGTCGCAATGCGCGAGGAATAAAAATAAACGACCGGTCTACTGCTGGAAAGATTTGCCGTTTTGGATGGCCTGGCAAATCGATGACAACAGCCTTGTCTCGCCGCAGCGGGGGCCGGTGGTCTGGTAGTTTGGTATATTGCATAGCCTTGAACTTTTCAAAAAAGGCGGGCTCCTTCATCGGCGGGAAGAAAACGCGGACGGTCACGATACCCAGTGGCTTCTCGACCGACATGGACCTGTTGATGGGCGTGGAGCTCGGTGGACATGTCGGAATGACGGTCACGGGGGGAGGAACGCGGGTGCCACCAAATTGGCTGCCACCATATTGGCTTCCGGCATACTGGCTCCCAGCATACTGACTCCCAGCGTATTGACTTTCGGCATACTGACTCCCAGCGTACTGGCTGTTCGCGTACTGGTTGACAGCGTCATAATTTTGGCGGCGGGGGATCGACAGGCGTGATGGGTTCGGTTGCGTGACCGCTTCGTGCATGTCATGAGTCCACGGTTGACTGGCAATGGGATCGGCCTGATTGTGGAATTGATTACTGAGGAGAGTTAGCGATGCATTTTGCGCATGATGTGACAACAAAACAGAGACACTACAAAACGTGACATACTGCATAGGGGAGAACGATCCACCAAAGCCGCCACGGCGACCACCTCGTCCGGGCCTACCGAACGGTCGGAAGCCATTGGCAGCAGGGCCAGCACCGCGATGATCGTGCATAAAGAAGGCACCTCGGTTCGGCACAAATGAAGGATCTTCGTCTCTCCGCTGTTTGTAGAGGTCGTGTTCCCGACGTTGTCGATCGTAGGCCGTCTCCCGCCGAGGCGGTTGAACTGACGACGACGAAACAATGGCAGGCTGGGGCTGTTTGACGGAAGGTGCCGTAGATTGTGGCTGGCTCGAAGGAGCGGATGTCGAGGACGCCTTTGCGGCTGCATCCACGGGGCTGTCTGCCGCATTGGCCGGTGTTCGCAGTGCGGATCCGCCGGTTGCCCCATTGCCACGCGCATTTCCTTGTCCTCCGCCTGTCCGAGCAACCGGTCGTTTGTCGTGTGCCGGAACGGTTGGTGATGCATCGTCCACATTACTGGTATCACTATCGTGCACCGCGTCTTGCTCATCGCTGGCGATAGAGCCTTCTGTAAGCGAGTCGTCGTTAACCAACTCCACTGCGCTGTTGGCGCCGCCTTCGCTGATGTCTTCCTCTCCTGCACGCCGACGGCGGCCCACGGCCCTTATTCGACGAGATACATTGCGTTTTTGTGTGGGATTGGGAGAGGGCGTGGCGGTAGCAGCAGCCATTCTGTGCCGCGAGAGGTACCCGTAGCGGTAGTCGTCTCGCCCGTATATGCGCGGCCGAAAGCTCTGTTTACGGAAAGTAGTGATAATGGCGATAGCCGCTAACGGTGTGAGAATGTATCGATGTTAGGGGGTCGGAGTCACGAGAGAGGTGGTCGAGGGCGGATGCCACGGAGTCGTGTGAGAAAAGACGGAGCTTGGATGATGCGTGTTGACTTCAGTGTGCTTAGGAAGCAGAGTGGAGAGGATGCCGAATCGTTCGTTGTTGGATGAGGAAGGACGTGTCAAGACCTGCTGAAATCGAGCTCGGTACGGCAGGAACTGGAACCGTTAAGGGCAGTAGGGGCGTTCAAGAGCGAAGGATGAAAGGGCATGTGTGACCGGCAACGTAATATGACGGAAAGCTCGAAGGCAAGGCGGGACGGAGTCGGGCTAGAGGACGAACGTGACGATGACGACAGACCAATATACGGCAGGTGCGATGGTGATGAAGTCAATGGCGTCCGGGTGGGCTGCGATGGATGACGGATCCCCGGAGCATCAGGCGGCAAGCAAGGAAGGAGCGTTCGAGTAGTAGCCAGCAGAGATGTCGTGGCTTGACTCTCCCGGGCGGACTGTTGTTTCGATCTTTCCTGACTAGATATTTGGGGATGGGGTTGAAGCTAATGCCGCCAGACTGTACAAAACAACAACGAAAAGAGGAGAAATGGCACTAGAGGGGGCGAAAGTGAATTAAACGGTCAAGGTGACTTGCTGTTGGTGCGAAACAAGCTGGCTCTAGGAGCTGGACGGTGCAGAGGACGACGTTAAATTTTGCCGATTGCAGCAGAAAGCAAACGTGCTCCAAAATAATGAGCAAAAAACAACGGTAATTCTGCGTCCAAAAACCAAGGGCACGATTACGATGGCACAGGAAGGCACGACCAGGACGAAGAACAGGAGGAAAACGAGAGTTGCATTGGGAAAATTAGGGAGGAAATGCGGCAGGGCAGGTGCTGGACCCGTCCCCAGGCGTGTTGGGTCTGCTGCAGCGGGGGTGCTGAGTGGAGCTGTCGCCATAAAAGCTATGAAACCCCAGCAGCGCGGAGTGGCGCTTTCCTATACTAATATCTGACAGCCAGTCCAGAGCCAATTGTTTACTGAGACATCCTCCAACGGCAGAAAGCCACAACGCCAAGTGTGCAATATGGCTCCAGATTTCCGCAGCGGTCGTTGGTGACGATTGAAGACAGCAAGAGCGATGCAGTGCATCAGTACGGCGACAAAAGCAGATATGGGAAACCGCGACTGCGGACATGGACGGCCGTGATGAAAACTAACGAGGCAAGGGCAATGGGTTCATTGACCAGTGGAAGCTGTATGCCGGACGCGACGTTTGTGACAAGGCAGCAACGCATGTTCACTCCTCTCTGCTCTGTGATTGGAAACCGATGTCATTGGAGAAGGAGATTGACTGGTGGCGGCAAGTTTTGTGAAAACAGAACCTCTTGGGTCATTGGGCCAGTGGTCTTTCCTCGCATGCATTCCACAGTCTTCATTTTTTCTTCCTGCCGTGCAACTTGACATATGTTTATGCGTGGCTGGATCGCTGGAGTATGCAGAAAGAGCAGTGGAGCTACGCTCTTATGCTCTTGCCGCAGCACGACTGTTTGGTTATCACCAACCGCAAAAAAAGGCAGGCATTGACACCAGTCAACGAAGCGTATCTAATGTGGGCCCCTTTGCTATGATGTAGTGGTCGCAGCTTCCTGTTTCCTCCCCCGCCCTCCTTGCTTTCCCCATCCCAAAGCCCGATTCTGATGACGGATGTTCTTGTTGAGGTGATTTTCCACATACATCTGATTCAATGCGGAGCACATTTGCACGGCCAATTTGTCAAGGCCTTTTCTCCTCCTATAAACCAACATGTTGAGCTACTCCGTACATCTGAATGCACCGGCACCGGCACCGGCACCAGCATATGAACACAAAATGCCTGACATTACACGATCTGTTTTGCTGGCTGCAGCTTCCCTGTGTCCTTCGTCTAACGGGGAAAGTACGGGCCTTCCATTTGGGATTCATACCGAAACCTTGGCAAAAGGAAGGTGCAGCCACATTCACGATGAACCACTTGCATCGTAGCATCCGGCACATCGCACTTGCAAGGGCATCGCAGGACCTGCATTGTCCGAAATAAAAAAATAGAATAAAAATCAATCCAAAACAGGGCACCAGAAAGTAGGGGCGAAAACCTGCGACGGGGCCATTAAGCTCGATGCCACTACGAACGCAGTACGATGATCGCTGCAGCATCAGACAGGGGAATGGCCAATAGCAGAAACATGTGCAACAGATACGCACAGGGAAGGCGCGCAGGTGCATGACGACATCACCTTCCACAAACAGAAACAGTTTCTCGGTTAGGAAAGAACAGGTTTCTCGTCACCTCGTGAACTACGTGGCAGCGGTGTGCGTTGTTGCGACAGACCCGTGGCTGCCCTGCGCACCTTTTCGGCTGCTCTTCCTGATGCCATAAAAGAAAACAAGTCCCAGTCGAATAGCCATTTTGACCTCGTCCTCTTTTCTGCTCACGCTCTTCCTGTCTTCTCTTCAACCCTCGGCTCCCTCATCTTTCTTCATCTTGGCCCTGTAGTAAATCTACAAACCTTGTACACCTGCACAATACTTCCTTCTCTCAATCTCCCTAATCACTTCACTTGACACCAACTTGATACGCAAGACAGCATCGCCCATCATGCAGGCTGCTTTTAAAGTCCAGCAAGAACTGAAGGCCAGCCGCGGCCTTGAGCGGATCGTGGCCACGGTCAACAAGAACCACGCGCACAATGGTCTGAAGTCTTACGTTGCAGCCATGCGGAAGTTCGACTTCAAGCCCACGATGCCTGGCCCTTATCATATGGGTCTCCGTGAGTTTAGGCGGGAGCGCGCCGCCGCTGCTGCGGCCAAGGCCGTCCCTGGTCAAGCGGATGTGCCAAAGAACGTGGACGCGGGTGACGGCACCGGCAATGTCGTTGCCGAGGACCAAGAGAGTGATGTCGAGTATATTTGCGAGGTGAGCATCGGCACGCCGCCTCAAAAGCTGCAGCTCGATTTCGACACGGGCTCAGCCGACCTCTGGGTGATCTCCACGGAGCTTCCGGCCAGCGATCAGAAGAACCACTCTGCGTTTGACCCGACAAAGTCGACTTCCTTTTCCCAGATGGAAGGGTACTCGTGGAAGATCCAGTACGGCGATTCCAGCTCGGCTTCCGGTGACGTTGGATCTGACGTCGTCTCGCTGGGCGGGCTGGACATTCCCAAGCAGGCTATTGAGCTGGCTAAAAAAGTGTCCAGCGAATTTGTCCAAAGCACCGGCGACGGACTTCTTGGTCTCGCTTGGTCGTCGATCAACACCGTAACGAAGAACAACACCGCCAGTCCCCAAAAGACACCGGTCGAGAACCTGGTGGCCAACAACGCGCTGCCCAAGGAGGCCCAGCTTTTCACGTCTTGCTTCTATAGCTCGCGTGACAACAACAAGGAGTCATTCTACACGTTCGGCTTCATCGACCAGGACCTTGTGACTGCCTCCGGCAAGAGCGTCGCGTGGGCCAATGTTGACAACAGCCAAGGGTTCTGGGAGATCCCGTCCGCGTCCGCGTCTGTCGGTGGCAAGACAATTACCCGCTCCAATAACACCGCCATTGTTGATACTGGCACCTCGCTCTGCCTGCTCTCAGATGATCTCATTAAGGCTGTGTACGATGCCATCCCCGGCGCTCAGTACGATTCGTCCCAGCAGGCCTACACGATCCCGGCCACGATCACCGCCGACCAGCTGCCTGCGTTCTCCGTTGCCATTGGCGATACGCAGTTTTTTATCCAGCCCGAGGACTTTATCTACGGTGATGCGCAGAATGGCGTGTACTACGGTGGCTTCCAGTCGCGGGGTAATCTGACCTTTGATATCCTCGGCGACGTTTTCCTGAAGTCGATTTACGCGGTAAGTTCAAAGACCCTCCCCCGAATCGTGCGACTCTCTTGAAATTCAACAGTTGCTAACACTGACAGATTTGGGACGTCGGCAATGTCCGTTTCGGCGCGGTGCCTAAGATCGAGGCGAACCAGAACCTGGGCGACGGAACTACGGCCTAGGTTAGCTGCCGTCGGCTAACATTTGGGTTGTAAACATGACATACCTCTTGAGGCTGTTGTCGTATTCGGAGATGGGGGTATTGCATGCGCGTTGTATTTGCAGTATGTTTCATAGTTGTATTTCGTCTGACGGCAAGTTGTTTACAGATGACGGCCCAGCATTTGTTTTTTCTTACCAAGGGTAATGAGGCTGCCGTTTGACGCCCCACCTGTTCCCTTGGCAGTGCAATCCTAAGTCCAAACACCTTTAGTCTTTATTGATAAACAAGATTTGCTTTTCAAACCTTTCTTGATGAATTTAAATGTCCAACGTATTTTTCGCTACTGTGATATGGCCCTTTCTCCGCGACGTATGATACAAGACGGTATACTATATACAAACCTACGTTTACCGAAAAGTCATCTTCGTCCTTGCTGATATGTCTAAAACAAATCTTCATGCACCGGAATCTACTGAAGGCTGATTTTGCCAAAGAGATAACCACGAACGCCGTTGCTCAACCAGCACTCCTCGCCGTGCTGCAGTGAATCGGCCTTGACCTCTTCCTCTACAGCAAGTTTTCTAAAATCAATGTTAGTAAGGCGTAGTTCGAAATGGGAAGAAGCCAGGAGAAAGTACCGTTCTAGAGCCCATCGTCGTGTCGTCCCATCCAGACCGCCGCTGCCGCTCTCCTTGCCGTACTTTGGCGGCACCGGCGGCGTCACCCAGCGGCCGTTGCGCCAAAAGTAGACGGTGCTTATACTGCCGTCCATAATTACGCCACTGTCCGAGTTGACAAGCAGCACCTCCTTGCGCTCCGGACCTGTGATTCCAGCGCGCTTGCGGGCTGCGTCGTACATCTGCCGCCGTGTCGTCTTGTAGTGCG